TGTTTGCAAAAAATTGATATCTTGTTTACGTGAACATGCTGCTTGGGTCTCCTCTAAAAGAAATTCGAAATTTTTCATTGATGCACATCCCTGGCCAGTGGCGTGCAGATACCTTCCTGGTGGGGCGCTCGCCACATCCACCTGAGGTGGTACCGCCACCCAAGCCTTTTTTATTACTATCAAAAGGCATTCCTACATGTACCGGGACATATGGTCACCCTAACCTCATTTCATCCGTAACAAAGCAGTAATTACCCCTACCCCTACTCCCCCTGCTTAGCCTAGCCCTTGTCAAGGTCATAGCACGGGGTTTAAAGAAGACCTAGAGGTTTTTTTTGCGATTGGCAGGGGTGGAGGTATCCAAGCTTCATGGGGTCTTTCGTGGCTCGTGAGCCACGAAAGGGCTCGTGGGGCTAATGAGTTGAAAAATGGGGCTGAAAGGGCTAATGAGAAACACCGAGGAGAAGATGAAAAAAAATAAGTCCTTTTCATTTCATTCCTTTACACCAGGGGTTGGGAACCTTTTTGGCCATGTGAGCCATATTAAGATTGAGCCATGACTCATGAGCCATAGGTTTCTGACCCCTGCTTTACCTCGTACTAATTAAAATGCGCTCATGAGATTTCGCAGATACATGATACTCCTCTTCTTTGATCGAACGCAACTTATTTCAATGAAATAGGGGAGGGCGAGGCACCAAGGATCACGAGGTACATCTGGTCCGGCTGTCTGGAGCTCTCTCGGCGCTATTGGGAACATGTTCTTCATGTTGTCTGCTTTAAGTCTGCCAGCTGATGTGCCAGGAAAGTGCAGTTGAAAAGTAAAGTAGTTCCCGCCCCCAAGTGGAGATTCTGCCAACGTTGTTCTGCAGTCGACGTTTTCTCTATTTTTTTTTATTTTTTTATTTAGATTGAGAGTGGCATCTCGATTTCTTGCCGTTTGTTTCCTTTGATAAGTCTCTATTCTTGCCAGGATTAGATTCGGGAGATCGGTTGTTCGATGCCTGTGCGTATGAGTTACAATCGCAGCTTACTTTAGTTATAATCCTGATTTCGTTCTAATGGTTTGTGTTGGGGAACGATGGGTCATAACTCCTAGTGCGTCAAATGTTCTGAGAGTTGTCAATGCAGATCAATGCAGATCAGGAATGTGATGTCATTAGGCGTGAAACGAATCGTAGGCGGAGGCGAATCCGCAAGAAAGGTGGCAGGGGAGCTAGGAATTCTTTTTCCAAATGAATGTGAAATGCATGATAACCCAAGAATTTCTTCTCCTGTGGTGCGAACACTCATTTATGTGATGACTTTGGGCCAACTGAACTTCATTTTAGAGATGATTATGGGGACGACCCATCGCACCCCGGACAACCACGTTGTAAAAATGGTGCTCGAAACTTGAGGATTGAGAACTTTGAAACAGGTGATTGCACAGGTGATACGAGTTTTTACACTCGGCGCCTTCCATTGCTTCAGAAGATGCCCGAGTTGTAGGTCCACAAAAATGGTGACCCATGGTGTCTCATCCTCCCCCACGAGCTGTAGTTTTAATTATTTTTTTTAGAGCTAGGTTTAACCCTTTCAGACCTGAATTAAGACCACTATCGGAATAATATCCTTTTTTGCATTATTGAGCTCTTTCGCTATCGTAATTTAAATTTTTATGTTATACAGTATATATATATATTTTTTCCATACATTCGTATAAATTTACATTTAATTTACTATATCATACCATATATATTATACATTTAATTACATAACTGAAGATTGCAAACCTGACGGGTGAGAGAAGGCCTCCGATGGAACTGATCCATGCATAATTGCGCCAATTGTAGTGCAATAAGGGGCGCAGTCACGAGAATCCCAATAAATTACCATAGACACAATGAAAATATAATGTCCATTGGAATGGACGCCGGGTCTGAAAGGGCTTTTAAATAAAAAAAAAAGCAGTAGCGCGTGCATTATTTTCTTTCACATGCAATGGTGAGATGGAGCTGTGGCTGGCTTACATCATGGCAGTCAGAGAAAACGGAGAGGAACGTTCAAAATTCCTTTCAAGGAAATGTTGATACATTCATTCCTGATTCCTGATTCATCTTCATTCATGGTTATTGATATCTTAACTTTGAAAGAATTCCTGAATGGAAAAATATATATATAAATAAATAAATATATATATATATATAATGTTGAGTCTTATGTTTAATAAAGAACAGCTTTTTAAGTGATTACCTGGTAGGGCAGTGGCCTGCTTCCCACCAAGGTGCATAGGTTGTGAAAAGGAAATACCAATGGTGCCTGTCCCACCCAAACCAATTTAGGCGATGCGGGAATGAACCCCACTACTATTGGTTACAATGATGCCAGTCCCACCCAGACTGATCTCCAGAGACCGCACCAAGTAATTTCTGTAGCCAGATATATACCTTGAGCTGCTGATTGCAAGGTAAGAACTTTGATGAGGACAGACAGCAGGTGTTATAATGTTGAGTCCTATGTTTCATAAAGAACGGCTTTTTAGGATTACCTACCAGGTAATCGCTTATTTATATATGCACACATCTATGATCATTATCAATAACCATGTGCTATTTAGAGGCAACATGTAAATCATTACTGGAGATGTACATTATTCTAACATCTTTTTCTTTGGGCCCTGCCTTCCCCCCTCCCATGGTGTCACATAGATTGAAAGTTGTAAACTATTGATCATTTGCCTAATGCTCCTTCCCTTTGCATGAGTGCAGTATGTTGAAGCCAATACTTGAAGAAATTTTCTCCAAGAGTTAGCCTTTTCACAGCTTATTGAGTGATTTTATTGGGTCAGTTGGCACCAGTTTGAAAAAAATGGTAATCCTTTACCATCTCCAAATCAGCAAGATGATAAAGGAAATAATGAGAATATTACAAAGATAAACTAACTAAAAAAAAATTTACCTTCTCACATTCTCTCATATCATTGTGTTATATTACTTTAAAGATCCCTTAGAAAATGTGGCCTGACATTGCTGTACAGCATATGGAGCTACCCTCTACTTGTTTACAACATTTTGGACATTAATTTTTGGTTACTGAAAAGCCTTTTGGCTGAGGCTCATGTATGATGAGTCCCTATGCCTGTTAGCATTTTGTCAGCACCATGTTGCACTTGCTGGTTAATCAAACCTGATTAACCAGCTTTTTGGACATTTTCAGTTCAGTTCCAGTGTTAGACTTATGGGTTTTCATGGAATCTATTAAATTTGAGATGTACTCCTGACTTATGGTGAAGCAAACCAAGATGAGACTCTCTTGACTCTGAGAAAATGCAATCCATTTACCTTTATTTGCTCCCTCAATCACTTTCTTCTTTTCCTTGGAATGATTATTGTGTCATTCTTCACTGAGCCCCTGAATCCTCGATAAGGTGCATGGCATTATGCTGCCTTAAGATTGACTTTATTTCATCACTTCCAGAGCAGTACTTCTGAGGACTGTTGGCAAACAGTGCTAGGAAAGGGCATTCATTTCTCCATCATAAGGTAGAGTGCCTATCCAGGTACAACTCAGGCATTCTACTGGCTATGCACTGAGCACCATAGAAATCATGTAAAATATGGTTAATGTGATGGACAAGCTTCATCTACATACAGGAAACCTTAGCAGCAAAGGAATGCTTGGAATGCTTGCTTGATAGGAGATTCCAATTCCTTCCAATAATATTCTCAGAAAAATGCTATGACAGAATTGCATAACATAGTTGCTTCCATTTTAGTACTGGTTGATTTTTGGATGAACTGCACTTTCAGATGAGTAAAGGCAGAATTGATTTGATATTACACTGTGTACCAAAAATTAGGGGCCAGAACTTTTTAAGGGTATAGAAAGTATACTTACGTACGTACTTGTAACTTAAAATAACGAGATACGAGGACAATACGGGTAAAGATACATTTGATGAAATTTAGTCTCTTAGACTTCTATGTTCATAAAAAAGATAATGAGAAAGAAAGTCCAGCCTGATCATCAATTAGTGCATGCTGTCCCTTTGATACAATAAAAATTTGGTTGCTTGAACACATTACTTCCACAGGAAAATGGCAATAGTGGTTGACATTCTTCTTGAAAAATTCCCATATCTTTCATATGAATGCATGCATGAACATTGAATTTTATTGCTCTATGCTCCTGTTATGCCCATTTCTATGTAAACTACTTTAAATCAGAGAATCTGAAGATACAAGTATTGTATCTTTATATATCTTTATAAATATCTTTATATATCTGAAGATATATAAAGATAATGAGAAAGAAAGTCCAGCCTGATCATCAATTAGTGCATGCTGTCCCTTTGATACAATAAAAATTTGGTTGCTTGAACACATTACTTCCACAGGAAAATGGCAATAGTGGTTGACATTCTAATTTCATGGACATCCAGGCTATTGTTAGAAAGATACAGGAATTTTGGAAGTAGTCCCTAATTTACTAGCCCACATTGCAGTGATAGTGAATTTTGAGAAGACAGTAGCACTGGTACTTGGTTTGGAGATGACACAAATCAAGCCTGAAATCACAGATATATCAAAACCCATCTCCAGAAGTAATTTAACCCTTTCTGTACTATAGCAGTGCCATAAAGTCTGGCATGAATGGTCCCTCCTCTTGACCTAAACATGGCCAGGAGGCACAGCTGCACACAAAAAATTCCTTATTTAAAGGGATAAGGAGAAATCCTTCAAAGCCTTGACAAGGATGCAATGCCCATGGCATTGCAAAGAGTAATTTTTTTTAGTTGAAAGTTTCCACATTTCCTTTGCAAAAGTCTATACATTTTGTAATCATGGAATTTATTTTGGCTTGGCACAGATCTGAGTGGACTGAAGAAATTCCTGCAGCATGCTTGAAATCTACCTACTTCCATTAGAAAAAAAAAGTTTTAGCACATAGCAGTAGCATGGTCAATCAACAGTCGCTTTGCTTTTTTTTTTAAATCTCATTCCAAACACTGGAAGATTCTCCAGTTTAATATCAGTGTGCTCATGTTCCAGTGCATTGTGGGAAGTGAGATGTCAGGCTCAGCCACACAGTAAGTGGGATGCAAAGTGAGTTTAAAGAAAAATGGTCAGTGAAAGACCCAGTGCATTTCCTGTTTTTTTTTTTCCATTTTATTACTTTGGCTTCTGGGAATATCACTTGACAAATAAAAGATAGACTGCATTATTTGGCAACTCGACAGATATCGGCTCTGTATCAGGTTTTCTTTCGTTAAGGTTATTCAAGTTAATCGGCAATATCCATGATATTTTTAAAACCTTCAATTTAGCTGAGATGAGAGTGGGACTTGAGGACAATATCTTATCACCATTACTACATCATCAGTCACTACTTAAGGTTCAACAAACAGCACAAGGGGCAGTGAGCATCTGAATACATTCCAGGCTTAGGACAGATATTTTGATATATTTTCCAAAATTTTGCTTCTCATGATGTTCACTCAATATTCACATTAGCTCAAAATGACTTAAGTGCCAATTAATTTGACTCACTAGCTGATTATTATGCAAAGATGGAATACTGGAAAAATCATGGCCACACAGCTGCTTCATCAATACTCTTCAATATATAAAGGAAACATCAGAGCTGAGTTCTGAGACAATGTTTCACCAATCATGTTATAAAATGTTGCTCCCAAAAGAGATATGCCCATAATGCTTTGATAGTGATGCTGATTTCAGCATTGCAAAATACTTTGTGAAAATTCCCAGAACTCTTCTCCACAAACTGCAGTTCGAAAAGCACTTCTGAAAAAAGACAATTAAGCCTCTTTTCAGTTGAATAGATTTATGAGCAGACCCAAGGGCATTCCTGCTCCTGTCTCCTTTGAACATCTGAAGCACAAGAGAACGATCATAGCAAGACTTGCAATCAAGAGAGTGGAATTATGAGTGAGTAATGGAGTAATGGAGAATCATGAGCAGATGCTCAACCAATGGAAAAATGCTTTAAAAAATCTTCTCAATGATAGGGAATGGGAGATATGATGGGAAAACATCTCAAATAGGCAACAGTGATTGTTACAAAAATAAGTGTAATCCTCTGTCCCCTCATATCTCATTTGAACAGTTTCCTGCTTTTTAAAAGACAAAGATTCAACAGCACATGAAGAACTGGCCCAAAATGAGGGAACACATCACTCATTCACAGTGGTGCATTGTGCACACCAGCGAGTGTCCTTGTATCCTCCATGCACAGATGATCCTTTTCATGCACACTCACAACCAAAAGACACAAACAGAAAGCACAAAAAAATCAAGTGTAGTAGGGCATGAAAAATAATCCCAAGTAGTCTGAAGAAATGTATACAACATGTCTCCAGCAAACATGAGATGGAGAAAAATAAAAGATCAGGTACATTGAATAGATGGATGAATGCATAAATGACCACGTGGAAACAAACTGTGTGTGCATGTGTGTAACAAAAAGGGACGAGAGGCACAGAACACAGAATGGAATCAGTGTCAAAGGACCCCGGGTTTCCCTGGTGTTCGTGCGCCCTTTGAATGCGGCCTCGATTGAGAGAGTGAGGAAGTGGATGATGAAGTTCCCAAACCCTTGCCTTGAGAATCCACCGGAGGGCTCGTAGGGCGGGATGCAGATCGGGAGTGAATCCTCGCCGAAGATTCCACCTCCACCACGGGGGTCTTGCTTCGGAACACATTTCGCACTCCCGGCATGATCTTCCCCGTCGTGATCAGCCGGCCGAAGCCCTCCTACAAATAGCAACGGTACACCATTTCCTTTGCATCGATGCACAGAATCCATGGTGGTCCATGGAATGAAAGGGGACTGACCTGGTGTGAGAATGCGTAGCCAGAGCGCAGAGATCGTCTCGATCGTCGCATGGCCGTCCCCGTCCTCTTCAGTTCTTGTGGTTGCTTCGTTCTGTCAGAAAAAAAGCATATGAAAGTGAATGAGGAAAAAACTCAGATAGACAAAAAAGAACAATGGTGAGACCTGGATGTCATGCGCTGCTTGAGCCTAAGGCGATCGGCCAACGTCGGCCTCACGTCCACGAAGTAGAACCTCTTCCCAATTATAGGCAGAATCAACATTGCAACGATCACAAGTAACGTGAACCAGAATGTTGCTCCTGACATTGCCTGTCAAAGAAACATATGAAATCCGTATTAGCACACAAAATCTCCAAAAATCACCTGTCTGACTTATTTAACATAGATTACAGTACGTATTCAGGCGAGTCCTTTATTTCCTTTTTTTCCTCTCCTTCCAGATATTCAGTAGTTCTAAATCATATAAATGTATCCATTTTGCGTAGTACTGTCACCTTTTTCGGTCCAATTCAATGCCTAAATGACTAGCAGGACAAACATGCTACAGTGAAAAAATTATAATCATCTGGCAAAAATGGTTATTCTTCAAGATCAAATCTCCCACTGACACACTACGAGACTGAAAAACATTCAATGACTAAAAACTATTACTGAACTGAACTAACGCAGTTTCCATGAACTAATCATGGATGCAGTAGATATTAGAGATGCAACGATATTTTATCTGTTATCGGTATCGGCCGATATTGGGTGAATCAGATATATCGGCCCGAAACGATATACGATCTGCCGATAACCGATATTGAAACGACATCTGAAATATGCCAAGCGCTAAGTATGTACAGCGAATGATGAATATTCTCTCATTTTTCTCATTAGTGTTTTTCACGTGCGTTAAGTAACATTTCCCTTGACTCAGACAGACGTTCATGGGACGTTCCTCATGCAAGAGTGTCGAAGTCGAGTGAAAAAATGTCTGACTCGAGTGAAAAACACTGTAGAAGGTTGAAAATGCCGAAATGGCATGTTTTCATGAAAAAAAGAAGTATTAAGCTGCAGAAAACGTAAGCGTTTTTCCCCTTTGGACGGGGAGTGGCCGCTAGGCACTGAAGCCCCACCCCTATTTCAGTCAGTGTCTCCCAGTGACAACTTGCTACCTGTCGCAAGCACGTGACGTAGACATAATCGATTGCGATAGAGGTCTAAAACCATTTCGCGTTTGGTTTAACCGCCATCATAATCTGGGGATATGCCACCTGCGTTCGACCTTCGCCGCGGTTCTTCAACGTCCCACATCTAGAGATGGGAGCGCTCCGTGCTCAGGTACTCCCTTCTCAAGCATGCTGGCGCTTGCGCTAGGAAATATACACCTTACTCGGCTAGGCTCGAACTCGGCCCCCCTGCCACGGGACACAAGCCAGTCACCCAAGAAAGATATAAGAAGTTTCATCTACTTGACTCGGCCTAATGCCACTACCATAGCCTACTTTGTGCTTTCTGCGAAAATAGACATCGCTTGTGTTCGCGCGAAGAACCCAGGCCTAGATGGATCCCAAAACTTAGGTACAAAAATCGCTAGGCAATAGTCTGATTTCAACTCTTTCGTGCCCATATGTTCCTTTTGGAACCACCGATTTTCAAGAATTTTATCATCTTTATATTCACTAGCATTACCCGTCACGTTGTGACCGTAATCCGGGGCAATATTTTAAAACCCACATTAAAGAGTCTGGCTTCAGTATGAATAAAACATTTATTCTCACTACTGGAGAAATGGTGAAAGCATTAGGTGCACCAGTGGTGCACCTCATGCTTTCACCATCAGACCTGGTCCCAAATAAAGTTTAGCAGTGGAGGGGTTAATGCCTGAATATAAATGTAGATATAGATATCGGTATCGGTTCTTTTCCAATATCAGAATTATCGGTATAACGGATATCGGCAAAATTTCAATATCGTTGCATCTCTAGTAGATATGAATTTGAAACATCTCAGCAGTGGATCTAATGAGGCTGCACGGTAGTTGAGAGGGGGGGGGCTCAAAGGTATCCTGCTAGATGACAACTTCGCAGCACTGCTGCAAGTTCAGCCTTCTGCCATTTTCATAACTGAGCAAGTCATATGAAATTAGGTCTGTCACGATAGGTCGCGGCATCGACACCACTATCGATGGTTGGAGGTATCAATAGTTTTTTCGACCATCGCGATGCAGCAGCAAAAAATTTCGAAGGGGAAATTTCCCAGTAGAATGAAGTGAGTCAGTGGCGTAGGGAAGGGAGGGGTTTCGGGGGTTAGACCCCCCCCCCCCCCCCTTTGGGCTTCCCGGTCAGTGCCACTGACTGGCATAATTCAACTTTCCTTGGGAATTCCAATTTTAGCTATGCCCCTTCGAAGAAAGTCCGATGTCCGTCCACATACCCAAGATGCCAGACCATGATTTCTTTGAAAAGGTAAATTCTGGGTAGTTGAGCTAGGCGTAGGGTTGGGCTGTCTACCTGGCCTCAACCCCAACCCCTTGCCGATTCCCTGCCTACACCACTAAAGCGAGTACAGTACAATACAGTCCCGTCCGAGCGGGGAAAGGAAAAGGCAGCGTCATCCGCATGGAATTGCAATTTCTTATCACGATCAGATTCTGGAAATGCTGGGACTGACTATGAAAGACGGGAAGGAAAAAAAAAACATGCTGGATCGGAGACAGGAAGTGGGAGAGGGAGGGAAGACCGATAATTTTTTTTTTCTCTTCCGTTTCAGCCTTCGGCTCGATCTTATCAGGTGCATGCTGTCTCAGTGGACTGTCCCCTTGATTCTGAAACGTACATTGGGTAATCCCCCTCTATATTCCTGTCTCTCTCTTTAGTATGAAGACTTAATATCTTCATTTTTAACTTGCCCTGGGGCATTTTACCTCTAGACTGAGTATGAACCCAAAGTGAATTTTTTATTATGCTTATTACGTGGCTGTACGGATGTTTCGGCAACCGCCAGTATGGCACCAACGGCAGGTTTGCTATCTGCCGACGCCGATGTCCAAAGAAGACCGTGTTGAACGAAGAAAAAGAGAAACAAAATTACGTGAACGGACTTGGCAACTGATTATCAACGGCAATAAGAAAAAATTAGGGTCATCCTGATGCATCCATCGATGAACGGATGTCATCTTCGATAGTTGGAGGCATGGTAAGGTTTCATTACTCGTGGCGAAAGTCACACCTTCTCCCGGTCACAAGCGTTAGATTATTATTATAGACGGACAGAGGTTTGCGCTCCGATCGAAGCAAGAAACGACGGAAGCAAATCTCCGCACGATCGCGGCGAGAAATTATTGAATCCTCTGGCGCACCCTACCCCCCCCCCCCCCCTATAGATACCGATGCCATGCATCGGTATCTATCGATAGTTCAGGTCGATGCATCAATGCTTTGAAAACCGGCATCCCCGCTAGCCCTTCACGAAATCATATGAAATTTCCCACTATCTTAATACACAATGCACAAAAAATTACTTGAAAATCTTTTCCTATCTGGAAAGAGGAAGAAATAAAATATTGGACATACTTCACCCTGAACTACCCTGTATTACACTAAATATCATATTTCATGAATGGTCCACCACTACATCAAGCTAAACTTAGCTACTAGAGGCACAGATGAACATGTGAATCAAAACTAACCATGGCAAGGGAGCCAATGTATGCAGCATAAGCAGCCCCAAGGACATAGTAATAGGCAAAGGTGAGAAGAAAATACCAAAGAATGGAGCCAATGATGGTCACAAAGTTCAAAACTGTCCAGTAGGCAGTTTCGATGGCAATCTGTACGAGAGAATGGAAGAAATTAATCCCAAAATTAAAATTTAAAAAATGGGTGGGGGGTAGGAATAAGTCAAATGGGGAACAAACCTGAAGATTGACAACTATGACCAAGTTTGTGGCAAGGACTGAGCCAAACAGCATGTGGTCAGATGTTGTATAGCCCTCCGGTGATATGGAATCATGATAAGAGCCTTTAAAAATGATAGAGATCAGGGACATAAGCATAAGAGGCACATAGGGTGGAACTCCAGCCATGTGTGAAAAGTGACCATGGACTCGGACCATAGGTGACGAAAAATAGGACGGATGAGGTGAGGACTCCGAGCATGACACTCTTGAAAAACTCTGCCTTGTTGAAGAACATCCCCTTAATCCCTGGAGAATATAACTTGGGATATTTGACAGAATAGACGTCATTGATGTCTTGGTCGAACACGGCCATCACCACGACGGGTGATGCAGTGTAGAACATGTTGTAACATGAGATGTAGAAGGCATCATACACTGTCTGCAAGGAAGGCACAAAATGGAATGCAATGGATCGTCATGTCACACAGATGAGAGAAGGGGTTTTGCAAGAACTTACCAAGGCAGAGAACCCACAGAAGAAGGCAAACCAAAAGTGGCAGAGAGTGAAGGCAAAGTTCTTATAGAAGAAGTACCGGAGGAATTTGCACATGCGGTAGTATGACCATCGACCGTGGACTAGGAGGAGTCGCTCGAGGAAGCGGAACTGGGCGATGCTAAAGTCGGAGGCCAGAACGGCCTGCAACCCTTCCTGTCCGCTTATCCCCACTCCGATGTGGGCCGCTGCACGAGGACCGCCACCGTCTCATCATTCATCAAATGACACAAGGAGGCAGTAGGCCAAGCATTCAAGATCAAGCAATCAACAAGCCGTGTATGCATCTGATTTACTTTGGAATATTTCAGTCCCTCATCGAGTCCTGAAAAACAATGGAATTACAGTACCCTGCCCCAAATTATTTTTGATATGTGTGGCACCAATGTCAGCACTCAAAGGGGTGACAAAGGGCTGAAAGGAAAAGTCTATCTGCAAAATATTATTTCCTCAACCTCCACAAGAAAATAGTGAATATTTTGGCATTTGCCTTTTTAAAAAGGGGTCCTTTATCTCTCATGGTGCGGCAGATCTTTGTTGCAGCATTTCCCAAGAACCAACTGAGCAATGTAACTTGAAAATTTTTTCTCATTCATAGATCTCGCCAATATTACTTGAAAATTTTCAAGTAAAACCCCCACAAAAGATGCAATCAAAGTCCCCGAATTTTGATTACTTGACTTGGAATGACTCAGGCAAAAAAGGAAATGCAAGAAAAACAGGAGATATACTTTTGATCATGGATACATCATTGGCACCGTCTCCAACAGCCAAGGTGACAGCCTTCTTGTACTTCTTCACCAAGTCCACCACCATGGCTTTCTGCAGCGGGGTCACCCGGCAGCAAATCACAGCTTTGCCTGTATCCCATTAAAGGAAATGATTCAAGGAAGAACTCAATTATGATTATTAAGAGGAGAAAAAGACAACTATAAAAGAACACCCTTACATTGAGAGGCAACAGAAAGGAAACGCTCTTCCATCTTGGAATGGAGCGCATGGACCAAGGAATGGCCATTTATCACGAGGGCGTACGATCCGTACACCTGAGGCCCATCCACCTCATCAACCAAGGTCTCCTCACTGCAACAAGACTTGATATCAAAGCCAGATTCTTATTTAAAAAAACATTTGAATCCTAGATTCATTCCTACTCCTATCCCTCTCATTTCTCCCACCATGGTTTCCTTTCAGCTCATATTCAATACATTGCACATCTCCATTACACACATACATAGAGAACTTTTTTTTCTTTTGAATTCCAGGGAGGTGTTAGATGACATGCTAACAGCATGCAGCCCTTAACCATGGGTTGTTGGAGAAATGAGAACAGAACAATAAGAAAAGTCTAGAAATCTGATGCAGAATGCATCCTGTCAAATAAACTTCTGTAAATGATGAGAGGACTGAGGACAATGGCAAAGGTGGAGAAAACCATGCTCTTGCCCCTCACCTCACCAGCCTCATTTGTTTAGCCTTAGTTAAACTTACAATCAAAGGTTTCTTTACAAGTCAATGGAATGCCTTCCATAAAGACTATTTCAGATATAATAGGACTTTTTCTAGGAAGAAACTCTCAGAAATCATGTTCTATTCACTTTGAGATGTTCTTACTTAATTTTCTGCAAATAAAACAGGTTTTATTCCAGTTCTTCAGAGATTCAGGGTTCTGAGAATATTACAACCAGCCACAACAAGCACTCAGGATGAGTGAGTGTAGTTTGTGCACATGCAATACGCTTTTGTGGGCTTCTTCAGTTAACCCATTGAGTGGTATGGCATTACTGGTACAGTCATGCACTCCCTGTCCCACAGGAGTGTAGCTGTACCAGTATGTCCTGCATCTTCAAATTCATATAGCCACATTTTTACAGATGTCAGTTTGAGGTAAAAACTGTTCATTTTCATAAATTAAAGCTCATAAGTAAAAAATTTAGAGCTGGAGACTGTCTGCAAAAAAACTCACCACTCAATGGGTTAAATCTCCATAGGGGGATCCCTCACTTGCACTCACTCTTTCATGTATAAAAATATTTCACCAAGAAAAGAAGAAAACTATATCAAGAAAATATGCCAGGGAGCTCCTTAGGTCTCACTTGGCCCTAGTTCCTATGGGGAAGCCAACTTCAGCCATTGAAGATCCTTGCACACAACTCCACCACCAATTAAGAGGACCTTCAAGGGTTGCAAAAGGCTTAGCAGTAACAGAAGGATTGAGAAGTGAAATAAAAGAGGGACAAAAGGAAATGGGCAGTTTTGCTCCAATATAAAATGGCATTCTCAGCCAGAATCGTGCACATACAAGTCCACTATCTTCTTGGAATCAGAATAGAGTTAATCCTGTTACTTTCAAAGAAACAGGAGTAACAGGGACAACAGAGATAGAAACATGATAAGAAGACAACTTTTTAGGAGTGGTCCCTTTTTCTTTGGGAAGACAGAGGTGATGAAATGGGAAAAGTGGGGTGCTCACTTGGCAGAAGGGGAACCGGGAGGCCTTCCGTTCTCCAATTCATTTGATGAACGTGGCCGAACGCCAAGGAGTACAGTGGGATTCTGCAAGCTACACCAGATGTGCAGGAGTGCAAATGCAAAAATCACAATTGAATCCAAGGATGTGCTATGAAATGAAGTTGAGGATAACTGAAATATCACACTCAAGGATTCCATGCAGAAATAAATATGGCATGCTTTGCAGCAGTCCAGGAAACACATCATGATCTTCCAGATATTAAGGCCCCAATAAACGAGGCAAGTTATTGCTAGCAAGTCCTTGTGTACAAGGAGCAAGCGAGGGTGTACACAAAGCAAGTAGACTTTAGCAAGGACTTGCCTCCACTAGCTTGAAAGTTGTGAAGCGTCTGTGAAACAAGGTCGAAAATAGCAAAAACTCACACCTGCTATAGATGTCAGAGAGATCTTTCACAGGTCATTGTCTTTGTATTCCTACAGGCCTTGACGTAGGTCTAGTCTCTGTATACCTGCAGACTAAGATTTAGGCATAGTTTTATGTGAAATGGCATCACAACTCTCCATTAAAACCACTGAGGCCAATATTACCAGCTTCTGTGATCAACCTTGTCCCTGGAATGTCATGATGTAGGAGTACCATGACTGCTCCATCGAGGATCAGGCAAGGAAGCCAAAATGATATACCCTATTATGAGAGCAATATTTCTCCCATGACTTAACTTTGAATGCACAGGGACCATTTTGGAATAAAAATTTTCATTAGAAAACGAAGACCAAGGGCCTCCTCCTACAAATTGCAGGGGAGGCCAAGATCCTAAACCCCATTTGGTTCTGACAGGGTCTTCCCAAACAATCAGAGTGAGACCTGCTAACAAGCCTTCTGGGATTTTGAACCGAGGGGAAAGTGGGAGCAAGCACTTGCCAGGACTCGCTGGGACTTGCTAGAGCAAAGCAAGTGGTGTATACATGAGGCAAGTCTCTTGGTAAGTGCTTGCCAGCAAGGACTAGCTAGCAAGAATTTGCCTCATGATCAGGGTCTTTAGGTTACTAGTGTAAAAACAACAGTGAGCTCAAAAATTCAACCAGGATGTGGAGTTCTCATATATTTTATCCCACTGTAGCAATAAGTTAGCAAATAGTTCCATTGTGCAGGATGGGATCTTTTCATCCCAAATTCAAAGGGCTTAGTACCATAAATGCATGGCAACCTAATACACATACAGGATTGGAACAAAATCAACTAGAGAGTACCATTTCACTGGCCCCTGTACCACTGGATTTATTATATATATCCAATGCATCCTAACCATCTAACCTTGAAATAAAAAATAACTGTCATTGGTTCGGCATAGGCCTATATGAAAAGTCCTAGACAACTAATCATGTTCTTGATGGTCTGCGTGTCAGTGTCATGTGGAGATGGGAGGACAATATGAAGTGTAGGATGCCAGATACGGCATTTCACTCGTGCGCCTAGCAACCCTGTCTACGCTGCTGGGAGGAGCCGCTCTCCTCCTTTGTCTACTATGGATCCATCAACTGCAAGGGAAAGAAGGGAAGTGGATTTTTTAGTGTAAGATGGGCACTCTGACCCAGGTGGAAAGCTGTGCATGCGCATGCGCATTGGGTCCTGTTGTCCAGTTTCTAAGGTTACTGGACAGAGGGAATGGAAGAAGAAAAAAAAAAAAGACAAACAAACTGCAATATCTGGCATTTCCCCATAGTATCTTTGGGAATGCCAGATAAAGAGAGCTTTTCATTTGTAGCTTTTAGGCAGTAAAAAGGCCCTTGACAAAGTGAGATGGTAACCAAAGCATAGGAACTACCTGAAGGTAACAACTTGAACACCAGTGCTCTTCTTAGAGGGCTTTGAAGGGATGGAAGCTTTATCTAATATGGCCTGGTACTTGCTGAGTTGATTATCCACATCTTCATATGAGTGTGCATCCACTATGAACACTTCTGCCATTTCATCCGTCAGCAATTCACAGGCATACCCAATGTTAATGGCAGTTTCTATGAAGAAACCAGAAAAAACATGAAAGAAAAGTTCACTGAGTGCACACTCAGCTAAATAAGAAGGAAAACCTCACCTTGCTTATCACCAGTGAGAACCCAGATTTTGATGCCTGCAAGAGCAAGATTGGCAATGGTCTGAGGCACTCCATCTTGCAGTTTGTCCTCAATGGCTGTTGCCCCTGTTTTCCAAAAAAAGAAACCTTAAACCAAACCAAAGTACATTCAAAAACCCTGGAAGAAGGATCAAGACAGACCAACAAGCTGGAGATCCCGCTCAAGCTCCTCGTAAACAGCATCTAGCTGGTCATCACGATTGTCCAGTGACGTGGCTGCATCGTGGTGCCTTCTCTTCCACTCCTCAAAATAATTTGGATCCAGGGTTTTGGAGGCAAGCACCAGAGTCCTCAGACCCTCCCCGGCAAACTCCTGCACCCAAAAATTCATAACTCATCATCCAATATATAAGCAATTTGACATTCCACACCCTAGTTGACTCACATTGAGATGTTCTTGAGTTTTGTCTTGGAGTACTCGATTCCCTTGCTGTAAGCGTTCATAGATGATGCTGTCGGCTCCCTTGCAGAGGAGAGTCAGCTGCCCATCCTTCCTAACCACTACTGACATCCTCTTCCTCACATTGTTGAAATCCAAGATACAGAGGAGCTCATAGACAACTTCCTTTCCCAATTCCTAATTTTTAAAGACAGAAAATATTATTATATTAATGCTAGCAATACACCTGAGCCAAATGCATACAACCAGTCACTTGCAGAAGATAAAGTCTAAGAGAGGAGAAAAGCGCACAAGAATAGTGATGGTGTTAGGTGTCCTGGCCTTGAAGACAAAGCCGAAGTTTCGAGCTGCAGATACGAGAGCATTCTCATCTGGACTCTGGGCCTGATACGTCAGCTTCTCTGTATTAGAAAAAAATTCAAGGAACCATCAAATCCAAAGATCTCATGTGCCCTTTCCACTCTGATATCCTATGCCAGGTAGGGTATCAGAGTGCCAACAAAAGTCAGTGGTCATGTTGGAACACATCCAACAACAGAGTGGAAAGAGTCTGTTGCATGCATAACAATTTTATCAATCCTTACAAGTGTCAGTAAGAATTTCCTACATTGGCAATACATGGCATGCCAACAAAAATATAATGAAGTTGAAACTCAAAAGAGAGAATGCCAATGAGTCCTGAGTTCTATCAGGGAACAGACCAGATATGTACACTGGTATTAGAACTTTTGGGAAGGTGATATTGGTCAAATTATCCTATTGTGAAACCAGTAACTCAATTGAGAAAACTAGTTGACCACAAATCTATGCAAATATTTAAGCATGATATAATAAGGTGATGTGAAGGAGAGAAAGTGCTTCTTATTCTGGTCTGTCCTGAAGGCAAAGAAAATGGTTTCAATCCATGCAATAAAAATCATTTAAGCTTAAGACAAGGCCCATGGTTTCACAGAAGTGAAGAATTCCAACAGATTCCAGAGATTGAAGGGTGAACAGGAATGGTGAATGGATTCAAGAGTCAGGGCTCACTGTCTTTCTCCTCTGGCATCACAGTGTGACAAAGAGCAAGGAGTCTAAAGAACTCCTGAACGTGGGGATCCCCATTCTTCACATCATCCAACAGGTTCTGATCCACAAATCGAAACTCTGGCTCAGAAAAAGGATTCTCGGAGAAGTCCACTCGAAATGAGCCATCCTGAAGAGAAATACAGATGGGGAGAAAGTTTGCCACACTTCTTCAAAAAGAGATGTAATTAAAACTCACTTCTGACATATCATCTCCATAGGTCTTCCCATTGATGCTGCACTTGTTGAAGGTCATGATATTCTGTAGAGTAGACAATGTAAGCCCATTGCATAGAAAAGCATAAGGAAGGACTGATAATGAACCCAGAACTCAAGTCCAACCTGGGTGAGCGTGCCAGTCTTGTCAGAGAAGATGTATTCAATTTGACCTAGCTCTTCATTGAGCGTGGTCGTTCGTGCCTTGGCCGACGTGTTGTTTTCAGCATTGTACATCTTCTCATCCCAGTTGATGAGAAGACTCTGTGCTAATCGAATTACCTCCACACTACATAAGAGAAGAAGCACTGTCATTCACTCCTTCAAGCCTGGCTTCTTGAACCCCAATGGAAGGGGTCAAAAAGAAAAACTGTTGAAGACAACATGAGTAAAGACTAATCAAGTTAAACTCCTTTCAGTACCCTGTCATAGATGCTAGGGGTAGAAAAAAAGGGATATGAATATGGAAAATAGTAAAGCAAGAGAAATGAAGAGGGTGCCTCCAGATAGTGGCCATGGGGACTGTACAAGGCACAAAGGTGGGATGACCATCCATTCCACTCACACAATGAGTTTCTATACCCCAAGTTTATTTTACTATAAACTTGTGGGTACATAAAAATTTTTTTTTATGAAGGTGGTGAACTGTCAACAATTTGGAATCTAGAGGAAGGAGTATTACTGCAGATGTTTGAAGCTGAAAGCTTTGCATTGACATCCACACAGACACTTGGACAAATGTATAAGAAGCCTCTTTCTCGAGCAAAGGGAGGCCCACTAAAAGGAGGGAGAGGCAGACCTGACGTAGAGGGAGATGGGGACGACAGTGTTAAGGGCAATGAGGTAAGAGAAGAAGATGAGGATGGCTATCACAGTGGCCCCGTCAGTCTTGCCTGTCGGCATGATGGAGTCCCAGGGCAAATACACCTGGAAATGGTACCCAGTTACCGTCTCCCAAATCCCACATGCTATCGTCGTGATCAAACACATCAGCACCAGGAAGAACACAATCTGGAGAAAGAGAAAGAGATGCAGATGAATGAGGATTTTGCTGTGTAAGATTCTTAATTTCATACAAACACTCAGAAAGATAATTCATGTTACATTCAACTGGCAAATTAAGCACAGCAAAATTAGAATATCTTGATCAGTCTTTTATGCTATGCATTTCTTAAGGTAGCTAAAAATGCACGAAGCTAAAAATTGTGAGTTTGGGTATTAAAAAATGAGACCTGAAATTTTGTGCAAATGACTGCTTTGCCAACTCCCCAAAGAAACAGCCCTGATGGTATCATGATATTTAGGATGTTCTGAGAGCAATAAACTACTGCAACTTAGAGGGGCAACATGAGAGTAGTTGACAACAACCAACTCAGATCCATTTCAACCTCCTTCAATTAATTTTATGACTCTTCAGGCAATCACTCTATTGGAAGCCTCCTTAGTGCCACTGAACATTTTTAATGAATGGCATATGCCCCAAACACACTGAACATAGAGACAGTAGACCAAAGTCATTCTGAACAGGCCAAATCAGTTTCTCAAATTTTCTCCAAAATATGAAGGAAGGCCTCACCCCGAGAATGAGCGCATTCATGAGCCGGTCTATACTAGTGCGCTTGAACTTGGTTTTCCCCGAATTCATCATCAGCTTCGTATCCTTGCCGGCAAAGATCACCAAACCGTAGCACCATTGTGTGTTTCGCAGCACACAGCCTCGCAGGAGGATTTTGTCATTATCCAGAGAATACCTAAAGAACAAGGAACTCAGTAACCACTCTCACACACACAACAACATCAGATGGAAACCAGGATGCCAAGCACTTGTTATCCTTCCACGTGAGAGTCCCATCAAACTTGCTCAAGTTGTTGTTGGGTGGTTCACACTGGATATCTCCATTGAAGGCACCAAGGGTTGAGGGATCCTGACCAAGAACATTTGTCTCCATCAGGCTCTGTCTGCTCTTCAAGTTCGTCTCCCTGCCGATTGATACAGATAATTTCAAACAAAAGGTTTGGTTCCATAGACATATAGGAAGAAACATGTAGTTATTTTCATTTCTTTTCAAGTATGTTGAGAACAGATGTTTTATCTAGGAGTATCAAACACTACCATGAGGTAAACAAAAGGTTCCAAACGAACACACTTATCTTCCCATTCCCATAGCCCAACAAACAGGCAAATATCCTTGTATGGCATTTACCTCTTTTGTTCCTACTGTACTATCCCTCTTGGCCTCCTAATTCAAAATTGAATTTTAAATGGTTAAAAAAAAAAATTCCGACCAAGCTGACTCAAGAACAAATTAAAACTTTTTTTCCTAAAGAATAAATTTTCTGAATTAAGACCAATTCAGTTACTAGCAAGCTTAAACATTCAGCTAGCACCAAATGTTTTCCCAATTTAATTTAAAACTTTCTCTTTAAAATCATCTCAGGGCAGGGATGGAGAGAATTTTCCCATATGTTAATCTTTAGTCTCATGAAAGGAGCCAGCTGATCTGCTCTCATTTGGGATGCAGATAACATCATTTTGCATGGCTTCATCTGGAATGTGGAAAAAGCAGCATGTAGCATGAAAATTGGCAGCGAATCAGACAGGGACTCCTGCCAAGTTGCTTGAAGACAGATGGAGAATAGACTCATCCATGGCCCCATCTCTTTTGCACAAATGGCACTTCTGGAATTTCTATCCATGTGACTATTCTAGAGTTCTGACAAGATGTTCTAGATTCACAAGTGACCTTGCACTAGGACTGTGTTTCACTGCATGGAATGTTTTTTTTTTTTTTTTTAGAAAGTAGGAATCTGCTAGCTCAACCATTAACTCAAAGCACATGTGGGAGGGACTTATGAGGTAGCTAGGGAGGTCTGAAATTTTTTTGCTCACTTTTTGCTGTAATTCTGCACAATGCCTTCAACCATGTGCAGATACAAAGGAGATTAAGGAGTTTTTATGGTTATCAACATTTCAGGCTTCACTCACATAATGCCAGACATGACACAACACATCAGAGCAAGATCAGGCCAAATAATATCATGTGAGTTCATCATAACACAATTCTTGTGAACCAGTGATGATGACGAATTCAGCAACTTTGCTGTCTTCACTGTTCATACCAACTACTGACAACAGCAGTCAATAAGGAATGGGTACAATAGTTCATCACTTGAATTACAATGTTTATCCTACCATGCAGAGGGACCTTTTCTTGGCATATATCAGGTACCCTGGCAAGCACCAGAGGGTAAAGAAACAATTGTATAGATCTGATCACTTGAAGAGATGAGTAAACTCCGGCAGGTATGATATATGCCAAAAGAAATAAGGTTCCATAAGCATTCCACTTCTTGTGAAGCAGACAGTATCACATACTTCCCATTCTTGCATCCTTTTCAAAGGATTGTATATAAACCTCTTCCCTCTAGCCAATTTAATGACTCTTTCAGCATCCACTTCACATACCAAGATTGTTTCCTTTGCAACTAATTGGGTTGGAATTAAAGTACAACCACCTCTATCCCTTACTTGACATTGCATGTTAGGTCCAGTCATTTCAGATTTTGAAGGAATGTCCTCACAGACTGAGATTGTTTCAAATTGTGTACATAGTACATCTGATGTATCACAAATGCAGCCCAAGTAAATAGGAGTGCTAAGATGACTTCATATGCAAGGGGTTAATAGCAGGGATAAGCTAAGCAGATGGACACACTCACACATGAGTATATAACTACATATGGCCCCATGAGTGAAAGGCAGTTGGAAAGTGCTGAATCTGGGAAAATCCCTAGAAATTCATTTGAAGCTCAAGCATGAAACATCCAATTTCTGCAAGGTTGAACATCTGAATTGACAAGGGACAAAAGCCCATTTGTCCATGGTCAACACAGGGCCTATATGCTTATATCTATTTATAGGCTATGCACTTGCACAGGAACACACTCCTGCCACTACAATTTCATGGTTAAGTGCTAAATGCCAATGGTAAAAAAAAATAATAAAGTCTTTCTATCTCTGTTTGTTCATGGATAGATAAACAGTCAACACAGAGACTTCACTTTTCCCCCTTTTGAAACAACCTGATAACCTTGTCTTAAAGCTATAAGCAAAGTCAGTTTTGACACTTTTTATTTCAAGTTTCATGAAAGACAAAAACCTTCACAAATTTTTCTAAATACACAGAACTTTACCCTTAACTTGATTTAGTACAAAGCAGAGGCAAGATTGGGTGTATTTATGGAAAGGTGTGGGGGATATTATACTTGTTCTGTTTTTGACCTGTCCAAGGGTTTCCTTGTGCAACCACCTGGAAACTCTCAGCAGTTCCCATTTTCCACGCTTTCCACCCTGACCACACATTATTTCAAAATAGAGTCCCTGTCTCCATAATCTTTCCCATAAATTTGATGCCTGCATGGAACGTCAGCCAATTATGGCTAACAGCTTGAATGATGGTGGCCATAAAAACCCCAGGGCCACCCTAGCAAATGTACTCACAAATCCCAATATTGCAATGCCTAGCATCAACAGAGAAAAAAAAAAAAAAAACTTTTTTTCCAGACTTCACAACCACTCGACACATCCAAAGGTAAAGATGGACCCGGTTGCACCCACTCACCCGTCCAGTTCGGCCGTCTCGATGAAGCAGAGTCCATTCGGCTCGGAGGTGCTGAGGAGGAGGAGGTCGGCAGTGACAAAGTCCCCGTTCCTCAACTGGATCAAGTCCCCCACCTGGACTTTGCTCCATCTCTCATCGGTCAGTTGCTTCCCTTGCAGGATGCGTGCCTTTCGGTTGTTCACCCGCGAGTCGCTCCGGTGCCTTTGCTGTGGGCATCCAAGAAGAACCACCGGGCTAGTTTCCTCAGCTAAATCATTTCAACCTAAATCAGCTACAGGGATCTTTGGGGTGATATCAGTACTGTTTATGAAACAGACTATTCTGTAACCCATCACCCCATCAACATGCCATCATCAGAGCCAAAACCACATCCACCGAGGTCGTCGGCAGAAGTCCTGTTTCCCGAGACCATCTCCATTTTAAAGGAAACTCAGAAAAGGAGCATCCATCCAACCTGATAATCCAATTACTTCCTCCAATGCATTAAAGACATGCTCCAGGAGCACAAGATTCAATTTTCAGCCTCTGCACAAGGCATGAATCACCCACTACACCACCACAAAGGGCAAGGGAGAGGGAGCAGATTCCACGATCAATCAACATGCTATGATCAGTCGATACTAATTTGACTTTGACATCATCAATGTATACAAATATGAAGGCACTCAAAGATCAGCAAAAATAAAACTGAATTGTAACTACAACATATAATCTGTAAAGAAGGCACCAGAAACTTTTCCCAAGAAGAACTTCCCTAAAGGAAAAAAAGATGTGATAAATAAACTCATACACCAATGAAAGTTGGGCAAAAAATAAGCAAAAAATCAATGTGACAATATCGAAAATCACTTACAGATAAACGGTATATTGTAGCAATGGAATCGAAAAGGTGAAATAATGGGATAATTCTGGGAAAGTGGTGGAGAAACTTGCAATATTCTTCATGGACTGGCTTTGTTGTAAACTAGTATGTGGGCTATACATCATCAATTTCAGAGACCACCAGGTTATATCAAGTGCAACCATAGCATTTGAGCAATTCAGAAAACTTGAAGCAATGATGATGAGACCCCATTTTCATCTTTCTTTTTGACAGTTCGCCATAAGGCGAAGATAAAAAAAAAAATCAGTTGCCCCGGTTTCAACTTCAACTTCTTTACTTCACAAAAAACAAGCACTGAAAGCAGAAATTTTTCCTCTTTGTCCTTTCGAAACCCAGACCAGCGAAGGATGAGGTATGTGCTTGGGTCTAAGCTGACACCTCTAGGAGGCTAATAATAAATGTAAAAAATATCAGGGGTTGAAAAAGGCACAACGCACAACAGAGTCTCAGTCGTAACGTCTTCTTTGAGCCACTGGAGCATGTCAATCACCTGTCTCGGCTCCAGGGGTCAATTTTCAGCTCATACAGGTTCCCCCCATTTTTCCCTAACCCCCCCCCCCCCCAAAAAAAAAAAAACCGGCACTCACAATATCATCGTAGGCATCCTTGATGGCAGTGATGGACAGCACAAAGACGAGCGGGACCAAGGTAGTGACGTAGGTCACGGACGAGATGATGGGAATGAACTGGAGCACCAGGAGGCAGAGGAAATAAAAGTTGGCCAACCGCTGGAACTGCTCAAACAAGTTGAGCGGAAGGAACGTGAGCAGCGTGTACTTGCTCGTGCGGATGTAGTTATTCTGCAATGGACACAGATCCATCAAAATGCGCCATTCTTCACCCTCGAATGGACAATGTTTCTTTCGGTGTCAGTTCCAAACCGGAGATTCATGTTAAGACTCAAAATGTATGCTAACGGATCACAATTCAACAACTAATACTACTAATTATACCCTTCCAAAAAAAAAATTTTAAGAAAAGCAATCGTGGAGACATGGAAAAGGGAAGGCTGTCTAGCTCTTCTTGGCTCCTGTCTCGCACATTCCCTGCGACCCTGTCTCATTTCCCATTTGGCCAGGACACGAATTTAATCATAGAGGGTCATTTGCAGCTCCGCCTCGGATGGGGCTCGGGATTCCGGGAGACTTCCTCTTTCCCAGCGGGAATACACCACTGCTCAGAGTGTTCCTTTTTTGGTATATTAAAACCATGACAAGAAGAGCAAAAAAACCGTGAAGGACCCTGGGGTCGAAGCAAATCAGAAACGAAATGAACTACAGGGAGCCAGCATCTGGTACGTCGGCCGTAACGACACCGGCCCTTGACATTTGGCCTTCCACCTTCATTACGCTCGCGTCTCCCATCCGAAGGCGGAGATAATACCATACCCAATCTCCTTCCTCGTCGCAGGAACCAAAGAGGCCTAACGACCGATGACGACGTGGGAGCCGAGGGAATAAAAAGAAAATTGATTCGAGGAAATGGATCGGAAGGGGAGGGACCGTGAATATAGACGGTTGCCATGACGAGCAGGTAAATATTGAAATGTTTATCGACATCCCCCGTCCCAACGGTCGCCTTCCCGGACCCTTCGATTCCCACGCCTCGACATTTCCTCCTCGCGTCGTATCGCGTGACGTCGTCTCGTCCGGGCGCCGTTGGGGCAGCCACGGGATGCGATGCCGTGATACGCCCATTTTCTACCGACCGGCCCCAATAAAAGGGATTTCACTTATTGTCAGGAGGATCTCTTGCGTGGAGGAAACGTCAATGTCTGTTGCTGCCACGAAAAAAAAAAATAGATTAGACATCTCATACCCGATGGAGTACGGAAGTACGAGGATGCGACAGGCGCGCAGAAAGCACAGGCCCGTCGCATTGTTTCTGGCGCCGGCTTAAAAGTACACGTTCCTCGTCTGTTCTCCACGCGTGCTGACCTTAACGGAACCGGAATCCGGTCCCAGGGTTTTCCAGGAATCGACGAAGGGACCGAGAGGCTTTTCGAGGAGCGGACCGAACCTCGAAAACCGAGACGAAGGAAGAATAAATCTTTTAATGGATGCAGCCAAAGGGATCGATGTCCCCGCCTTCCTTCTCCACTGACACGAGACGAGACAGCTCCCCCTTCTCCCCAACCCCCCCCCCCGCCTCGCCCCCCCTTCCCCCCCCCCCCAACCCCCATTCTCTTTCCCTGTGCCCTGTGGTCCTCCCGTTGGAGGCGCGTGCACGGCGCGATATGGAGGGCACGGTGCCTCGGCGGGTGGAGAGTCGGTTTCAGCGATAAGGGAGGGCAAACAGGAAAGCGAGGATAAAGAACTCCAAAGCAAAATTCTGAAGCTCCGGTCTCGATAAGATTGTCTCGTCTCGTACCGAATCGCAGATCCGACGAGCGATGCGAATTTCCCACAGGAAAAAGAGGGAAAGGTGGAACTCACCGCATAGTTGAACTGCGCATTGTATTCCCTGTCATTGGCTCTGATGCGACGCTCCGACTCTGCGAAACGAGAAAAAAACAATTTGCATGAATTCCAATTTGTTTACAATAATCGAGCATATATTTGCAAATATCATGATGCAAATTGTGGCACACGTGGTCGCATTAATCGGGTAGTCTCATGAGACTCTTTTCGATTAGCCGAACCTGACGGAGAAAAACAAAGAGCACCGGGCGAATCCCCGTTGAATATGCGAAATGAACTCCGACGGCGGCGTTGCATAACGAAGAGGATCTCGGGGATCATAACCGTCATCATCCCGGGTCTCTCCCTTCCCCGCAATATTCACCCTTTTTTTTATCCTGACTGCCTCATCTGTGGAGGAGGAGAGGGGATCGATGAAAGGAAAACAAGGAACTCCCTAGTCTGGGGAAGGGGGAGGGGGGGAGAGGGGGAGGAGGGGGGGGGGAGTAATGGGGACCCAGGGACCCGGGACCCCCGGCTGGGAACTGGCAAGGGGGGAGACATGTGCATTCGCACCAAAATCTCCACTAATTTATGCTCATGGGTGAAGGAGGGGGAGGAGGGGGGGGGGTGACACGGAGGAGATATACGACGGGGGGCGTTTTCCCTGTCATTCGGGCTGGGATTCTGCCTGAACCCGTTTCTTCCCGTTCGACAGGTGTTTTACATCCGAAAACGGCGGGTTGGGATTGCGGTGGGGCATGGAAAAGACGTGGGGAAGCCGTCGAAACGACTCCGAGCACGGTTCAGAACAGCAAGGGTGGAGTACGAGCTACTCGAGGGTCTTTTTTGCATCACCCGGCCTTAAGAATCCCATTCAGACGAATAAAGTGACATTTTTTTGGGTGTGGGAATTTCCCGTCGCATGGCATAAACGGGAACGCGATGACGACAGGGCTCACGAGCCCGTACGACCCCAAAGAGTCTCGGGCTTCGGGCATGCCGTTCCTCTCTCGTGCATGATCGAACACAAAAGAACCCAAATAAGGGTAGAAAGAGGCCTGTTGAATTCAGGGACACTGGTCTCGTGCTCGTACAATCCTTTTTTTTTTTCAGTGCACGTGCATGTGCCACCCCACGAATCACCCCTGAGGTATTTTTTTTTCTTTTAAGAGTGCAAGAATGAAGAATAGAGCGATGGAAAATTATTCACACCTCGCCAGCTGAGCCAGGATGCGAAAAGTCATTAGTCCCGATTCTCGGTTTTCTAAGCCGCATTTTTGTAATTATTATCGAAGCGGTATTTTTTCTAATCGAGAACGGCCCGAAGAAAAGACGAGGCAATACGCGTGGCACGACCCACGCCCGCGCGAGTCCCATTTGCGGTCGGGATGACTGTGCGTGAACGCGATCCCGAGGACTAATTGATGCGAGTGAAAGAGCGCGAGGGGGAAGTCTTCCTCTCGGTGCCGCGAGTCGAAGATCACCTTCACGCGCCGACTCCTGGAAGGAGACCCAGAAGACGCCTGGATGGTGGCCAACCGCGTCCCGGATTTCGTCCAAGACGGTCCGGATTAACCGCCGGTGTAACGAGAGAAAGTTCCTCGCGCCGGGCGTGGGTTCCAAGCACGCGATTGTCTCTACGACGCCGAGCATGAAGCACCGCGTCGCGGGCGGATTCGTCGGGTCGTTTCGAAGCAGGGCCGGATGGAATGCCGGTCGCGGCATCCAGCTTCCCCCCCCCCCCGGAGATCGCGATCCTGGATTCCACGCTCGATATCGCCTATGCCAACCGCGTCACACGGCTTTGCAACTGATACTCGTGGCTCCACGGCCCGCACGAGATACGTTCCTTCTCGCATCGCGTTCTTCGTTTTTTAGGAGTAACTTCTGCATCGGAAGCAGACGACACTGGGGAAAACCCCGATCGTCCGGAAGGGAAGTCGAAGGAAAACGTTTTTCTCCCTTTCGGGGGGGCTACCGATCGTGGTAGACAATTGGGACGTGTGGTCCACGAAAGAGATGAAAACCGCCGCATCGGAGTCAATGACTCGAGAGCAGAGGAAAGGAAAAGGGGGGTCTTTCATTGTCGTCATTCCCTTCCCCCCCCCCCCCCCCAATCATCTTCCTGGAATGGAATAGAGGTAAAAAAAAATCAATCAATAAGCCTAGATGGATTAGAGGCCTGGGTCCCCTTCCCTCTCCCATGCCATAGTCGGCGGAGAGGAGGTCTCCGCCCCAGTGTCTCAGATGAACGGACCCCGTCGAGTGGCATCGTGCATCGGGGAAAGGAAGAGGGAGGACTGGGGAGGGCGGAAGGGCCGGTTAGGTGACGTCATCCGGTGGGCGGATGTGGATGACGTCATGCTTAGTCGGCGGGAGGCATCCCCTGTCCCTGGCCGCGGGGCCTTAGTCCTTGACTCCTTGGACACGGCACCGATGCGGAGAGGGGGGGAAGGAGGCGGGGGAGGGAGAGGGGGGGGGGGGGGGGGGGGGGGGAAGGGGGGGTGGGGGAGGGAGAGGGGGGGGGGGGGGGGGAGAGGGGAAAGGTGGGATGCGGGATCCACGTGGATTGGAATTGGAAGGGGGCCAGGACGGGGATCTCTTCTCATTTTCTCTCCTCTTCACTTTAATGGGTCTCCTGCATCACCCTCGTCCATGGCCTGTCTTAGCAATCTCACTCCTTGCATTCAGACACTCCGTTCCCTAGAAACCGTTCCATGGCAACGGCACAAAGGGACAATGAAGGGACGTGGGCCAGAGACAAACCGGGCGATGAACTGATAGGAACACGCGTGGTCCACGAAAAACGATTTCCGAATCGGCTCGACGCCGCATCAATTATCGAATGCGAAGGGGTGAACGAAAAAAAAAAAAAGGTTCCGTGAAAATAATGAGTCCGGGCACACGATCACGAGAAACCGACACCGACTTTCTCCCTTTTACCGGACAGCACATTTAACGGCCACTTTTCCGATCGTTTTCAACTGATTCCCCTCGGGCGTCGCAAGATCACAGATGAAATCAGAGGGAAAGAATTCCCTGCCGGCCACGAAACGCGCCCTTTCCTCGTCGAAACCTGCCGGGGGAACCCCGAAAGAACGGGGGGATTCCTCTCGAAGAGCGGGGGGATTCCCCTCGGGATCCTCACCGGGTGGCTTGTTACTCTGCAGCAGGGACTTCATATTCTCGACTCGTCCCCCATCGCACACGGGCCTGTCTCTGTGAGTTGCACCTTTTTCCCCCGGCGACCACGTCACATCCGGACGCACCGCGTCCAGCCGGGCACTGGGGACGCGAGGACACCCGATGATGCAACCATGACCACGTCCCCTGGCAGTGCGACTACAAAATGGGGAGAAACGGACGAAAATCACTCTTCGGATCGAGACCTTCTGACATTTCGATAAGCCTAGGACGGGATCCTTCCGAGGATCCCCGGGTCACCTCGCCATCTGGAACCGATCGAGATCTAAGATCGAGGATTCGAACGGGGATCGACGGCTCGGCACGAGCTGACAAAAAACTATGGCTCCCGCGATTCAAAAACGTTCTCGAATCCTTCGATCACTTCGTTTTTCCCTGCCCTCACTTTCTCACTCCACGAGGTTTACGACACCCGTCGCGAAGTAATCAGGATGGAATCGATCATTTCCCCGAGGAAACGCCTCGTTCCCGTTCGAGAGGGGGGGAAAATAGAGCAGGCGAATGTGGGGCAATGTCAAGCCGGGACGAAGGATCGATCCCGTACAAGCACCACCTCCGTATGCAAAACGTCTTTAGGAGCGGAACTCGGCCCTCCCCACATTCATCAAATAATAATCCATGCCGGCTCTGGGCACCCACGTCACGTCGACGCGGTCGCCGCCTCGTACGCACGACGCCCACGCCCCCCGTCCTCCCGTGTCCGCAAAATCGTGCAGGTCCGATTCGACATCGACGGGTGGATCGCGGCACCTTAGCACCGCAAGGAATCGAGGAGCGAAGGCCAGATACCAAAGATGATAAGGAGAAATCAATAGGCGATCCGATGGCCGAATGGCCCAATGAGGAGCTCGAGTAGGTCTCCGTGGTCTACTCACGCGTGACCGTTCACGTCTGACGATACGAGACGAGTGGTTTTTTTTTTTTCAACTTCTTCGACACCGGGAAGAGAATTCTCGAGTGCGAAATCCGAGACGGGCAGGAGCGTACTTAAAAGCGTTTCTAACGCCTTTTAGAGCTTCGTCATACTGGAATCCTAGCAACGGAATGGCATGCCCTTGCCCTCGATACACAGTCGAGTGCTGGGGAACTGAAAAAGGGCACTCCGTCCTTCGCCTCTGCCGAAGTCAGAGGTCAGATCGAACCTTTCTTCGTGGAGCTTCTCGTACTCACGCTCGCACTCACGCGTGAACTCCGAGTTAGCCTTCACGACTTCCGGCGGCGTGAAAGCTCAGGAATCGGGATTTTCTTCCATGTTTCCTCTGGAGACCGAAAATAAATAGACCGAGTGAGGAAAAAAGTAATTCCGAAAAACTCGGTACGAACATAAAAAAATGGGGCTACGAACATCGGCCGGGCACGTCAATAAATGTCCCACTTCCGAAAAATGGAGCTCCACCGTCCCGGAATAGTGACAGAACTGCCAATAGATCGGAATCGGCAAAGGCAAGGGACGCGAGCGAGCTTTCTTTTTTTTCATTTCGCACGCATCGCCCGCCTCGCTGACGGACTCGACAGAATGCCAATGAATGAGGCAAGAAGGGGTGGCATTCGCGGGCGAGGCGGGGCGGGATGACGGAATCCCCGGCCGGCTGGGGCCGAGGGGTTTGGCCGACCGACTGGCACGAAGGCTCGTATGGCACTCGCCGATAATAAATCGCTGGCAGGGATTCCCATCGGAGAGCACTTAAGCACTGGCCTCGGTGGAGAGACCTTGAATGATGTGCACAATGTTTGCAGGCAGGCAATACTGCTGCCGGACGTCAAAAATGTGGGTCGATGCTCACTGCCAGAGGCCTCTTGGAAGTCGATGAAAAGTAATACTGCACCGACAGTAGTACTAGAAACCTTTCTCAATGGGTGGCTTCACAGAGAAGACCTCGCTGGAATGATGCTCTGATTGAACACGAAGGATCGAATCTGACTCGTGTGAGGAGGTGACCATCGAGCCACCTCGAGCCGGCTGATCGGGTGGCTATTGGGTGTGGAACGGTGGGAAATGGATGAAAATCCACAAGGCAGGCACTGCATTCAGAAGGAGCATGAAGAAACTGAATGATGGGAGAAGAACAACTAATTGGAAACTCAGCTATGCAACATAAACCAGCCATCAGAGATGACTTCAAGAAAACATCTTGAATATGGTAAAAGGACTGGGCTAGGAGGAGCTCTCCTTCCTGGACTCGGAAGTCATCCGCAGAAGAGAGAGCGAGGGCGAGTCGGCCGCAATTGCAGCCCGTGTTGCGAAATGGAGGGACAAATATACACGGAAGATGGATGCATACTTTGGGCTTTGGGAGAGAACAGCTATCACTAGAAATAAGACTGGATCTGCCCTTTACCTCCCTATGCCCACCATTGCATCTCTTCTTCCATCTATTCTGGAGTGTATAGGGGTCCTATGTCCCACTTACTCTTTCAAGCTTGCACCGGTTACAAGCAACCACAAAGTTGCAAACTAGAGCTATCTTGACACTGGAGAAGCTACAGGTTTTTTTTTTATGAGCAATTCAAATAAATTGAAAACTAGTTCCACTAGGGTACATCATTGTCCCTGTCAGGCTTCCAGTCCTGAAATAATTCTTTGCCTTCATTTTGGCAACTTTCGAGGACGGTCGGTTGGGCGAGCGGAAGACGAACCGAGCAAACCGTGCTGCAGACGTCGAGACCACATACCGAGAGCATTAGGCCAGGTTCGAATGAGAAAATTTCTTTTCTCCACCTTTGCTCAGTAATATGGGCTACCTTTGTAACCTCCATAAAAAATCTCAATTCTTGGCCATCTTCCAAGAGGTGAACAAAGCAATCAACTCCTAAAGACTATGTCTACCTGCCATGGCAAGGTCTATGTTTCCACCTTGAACCAGCTCAACACACAAGGCCTAGTAGAGATCAATGCTAAATTCATAAAAAAAATATCCAGGAAATTAAAATGAATGCCAGAGCCACCACAGCTTACATAATTACTTTCTTCTACTATGATTTTACATTTGCCTCCTCCTCTTGAAATTCAGTCTCATGGTGATTCTTCAATTGATTGCACACCTTCTCCTACCATGATGGAAACAGGAAAGACTTAATTTCACCTCAAGTAGCTGACTTAGTTGGGGGCAGTTACATTGAGACAACAGATGTCACTCAATTGGATGACACATATCACAGTTAAGGGATATGGGGTGCAATCAATTGAAAATCACTGCAAATGAAAGAGTAATAGGCCTACAAATATGATGGTTTGAGAGTACCAAAGAATGTCATATTTGCAGGTTAGCCCATAAGGGCTGAGATAGTAAAGCCCTAATAAAAAATTAATTAGCATGCTCAAATTCATATTACGCATGATGTTTCTACGAAGCTTCAAGGAAAGTGCGGCGATATCTCACACGAAAGTAGTTATTCTAGGGCAAAAAATCCATTGCAAATTATTGCGAGTTTGCAAGGCGCTCCCGCCCATCGACATCGGCAATGGTCATACGGGCATCGTCCAGGGAATAAATGCGGAGGCTCCCATCCATTTATAGACTTGATAAGCCAATAAAGTGATACGCAAGAGATGTTCGTAATAGTATTACGCGTAAGACGCTCTAGGCCTAGGCGGTGAGGCAGAAGCAATACCACGTTAAATAACCATGGAGACGAATAAACAGGCTTAGTCTAGGCCCACTCGCACGATATCTTCACGCGAAGAGAACGAGTCCATCCAGAGTTTAGCACACGTACTATAGGCCTCACTTCACGAAACCCTAGCACTGCCCACATTTACGCTCGTGGACGTTTTCCTAAAGTACATGTGTGCTAGCAATAGCGGCGGTTCGAGGAAGAAGCCACCAGAACGTCAGAGGCACGGAGTGATTCCATGGCAGACACGTTGGAAGAGAGTTGCGCATGACCGATATTAGCACATGGTAGAGGTTCGTCGGGCCGAGAGTTTCGGGCGCGCTCTCGGCTCGCACCGCGGCCCCGAGTCCGCACCGCGGGCCGAAGGTCCGAGTCCATCCTGGCCCGACTGCAGCTCTTCTGGCACGAGCCTGCACAAGGCCTTGAGAGCAAATATCCAGAGGATGAAATCCAGAACCACGACAAGAGACCCAAGCGTCCTTGCTGTCTTTGTCTTATCTGTCCGCCGAGTGTTACATTCCACAAGGGTATATTCCAAAGTGACAGAAGCGTGTGTTGCGCCACGGACCTAGTTTTACGTGCATGCATTTTTTTCAAAGTAAATTTTAAAAAAAAGAGAGAAATGTTGCGTCCGGGAAAAAGCCGCCTCCCGCGGCGTGGGCACCTCCTCGGTCCCCGCCCCACCCTCGGGCCCGACGCCCCCCTGGCAACCCCGCTCGTCCCCAGCACATGGCATCCCTGGACGACCCCCTCCCGCCACCTCGCGGATCCCCCAGTCCTCTCGCAGTTCGAGCGCGACGCACACGTCGCGGTCTCCACGCTCCCGGCGAGGCCGCGTTTTCAACTGCAGATCTTCCTCAGAGGTGAGTCGCGCGAGGATCAAAGCAATCAAAAGAAGTAATAAATAATTTAAAAAGTGAAGAAAGGGAAATAATTAGAAAAACGAGAATTTCCACTTTGAAGTCTCATACAAGACCACCTCGAGTGAAAAAGTTTCATACGAATCAATGGTAAATGTGTGCGTAATGAAATGTGAAATGAAATTCCACGTAATCTAGAGATTGCATGGAAGCTGAAACGGATCCTAAAGCACGATAACATCTCAGTAAGAATGATATTGCGGAATGACCTCCAAAACATCTTCCCCTCCTGCCCCCCTGCCCCCTTGCCCCCCTGCCCCCCCCCCCATCCCCCCCCTCCCCCACAGAACTCCGGTTCATGCCCTCCGCAAGGACAGCGACTTCGTCGAATTTCGTTCCTTCCGATCGAGAGCTTTTGGGAGATTCTTTTTCTTCATCCGACGAAACACATTTGGAGGAACGAAGGACACGGAATCCGACTCGTGAAGGGCACCGGTGGCTTCACTCTTGGTGGTTTCGTCATCTCTTTTTTTTCGAGTAGGCTATATTCCAGGACACAAAAGGCAACGTAGCGCAGAAATTTCCGAATCGGTCGCAGCAAATGGGGGATGAGGTAAATCAGAGGGAATGTGGCCATCTGAGGAATGTGGCCATCCGGGGAGGGAATGTGGCCACCAGAATTATGGCCCTTCGCGACATTTTCTCCGACTCGTTTTTCCCTGACCGTTTTGGGGCGAATTTAGAAAATATGACTATATCTGCGCATATCTGAGAGCCGAAATGTTCAGCCCCGTTCAGCGCGCACTGGAAGACTGGAGACTTGCAATTTTTGCAAGCGAGTTGCACGCAATCGCTCCACTTATGACACTCGAGCTCTAATTGAACCTCGAACCACTTAATAGCAGGAAAACCATTTCATCCAAGTTATTCTACGGTCCCTCCGGAATGCTTGTTGAAAATACTCGACATTTCGGCTGCGTTTTGCCAACAGTGTTGTCAACAGTGTTGTCGCATGCAAGTCAGCAACCGACTTCTCGGGAACACAACACCGACCCGTCGGCAGCGCCGTTTTCCGTTTCTGCACGACCGCAGGGACGATCAGCACATCCGCTGGACATCCGCTGGGCATCCGCATGAAAAATCGGCGGATTTCCTCATGTAGCGCCTGGAGGACATCCGCTGGATGCACTCCAGAAAATCTCTTGGCACGAAATTTTCATGCGCGTGGATATCCCTCCTATCTTAAATAGAAATGCTTTCTATCGTATATTTTTAAAATTGTTGTGCATGTACGAAGAAAGTTTGCAACGTATTTCCGTCCCGGAAAATTTGCCAAGTCGTCTGAGATAGCACACGAGGCGCAGGATCACTTCTCCTTCGCTGAAAGTCTCTAGTCGCAGGCTCCCACTCACTCACATTGCTACTCGTCGACTGAAGTCATCTCGGTCTTGCATCATGCGGCAGTCCCTTATTGGGATTCGGTGAACCGTCCTTCCTCCATCCATGGCGCAAGAATTGTTGGGGGTCGCCTTCGATCGAGTTTCCACTCGTAGCAAATGCGTTTGCGATTCCGAATTTTATTCCCTTGTTTGTACGTGGGGAAATATCGAGTGCTGCATGAAACCCACTGCAGCCTTCCAGTAGCTTTAGTGGACTCGAAGTACATATGCCGGCGATTTAAGCACGACCTCCCCGATGATGCAGGAACTTAAGTTTTCTCGGAGGAACGGCCAGATGACAGGACGGTCTTCTTCTTTACTTGCAGAGTGGTGAACGCGTGGAATGCTCTCTGATTAGTACTTGTAGTCCTCGATCGGTACATGAGGTCCCGGAAGACATCGAAACTCTCCTGACTCCTGACTCCTGACGGTCGGTCGGCCTTACCTGCTCTGCCCGACATCCGACGGCCGTTACACCCGTTCATCCGCGCCGACACGCATCGCGTCTGTCCATAGCTCGTCCGCCGGAAAAAACCCGAGAGCCAAAGGCGAACCTTTTGCTTTCGAACCTGGGTCTTCCGTCGGGGGAGCCAGGTTCGTCCGGGGAGCCATCGCCTCCGATGAAATGAGCCATGAGCCACTCCCAAGGCTCTTTTAGATATTAGTAGGGCGTCCACCGTATGCATGAGCAAGTAAGCGGAAGTAATTGTTAAAAGCCGGACGCACGTCGGATGAACGTTGCTATAACGAGAAGCGAGCTTTCTCCGCGATGATGGCGACGTCTTTTCTCGTCCTCGATGTCGAATTCGACCACGATGAACCGATGAAACCGGGTTTCGCTTCTTGAGGTCGTATTCCCCCAAATCATTCTAAGGGAAATGGTGGAGACATCTCGACGGCATGGAGGCATATGGAGGGTTAAACAACTTTCTACTACCGGAGGTACTTAATAGTACCCGACCGGAGGTACTTAATAGTACTCAACATGTGGAACATTCAGGTGTACTTTAAGGAAGTTTTATCGAACCGACTTCGACGAATCGAGGAGTTTCGTTCGTTTCGATGTCTTCCGGGACCTCATGTACCGATCGAGGACTACAAGTACTAATCAGAGCTCACGATCGAAATCGCGAAGGCCGAAGTCGCTGAATTCGTATCGCTCCGGTCTTGTGCCTTCTGGGAATCTCGAGCACTCGGCTTACAGTTTTTGTTAAATAAAACATGTGTATTTTCTCCTGGGATATGAGTACGCGTTTCCTGGAAAGGGCAACTCTCCGAATGCAGATAACGAGTCGACACGAGAGGGCACGTGGGCGGGGGGGCTAGTAGAGCAGACGATTTCTGAGAAGGGCAGACGAAAACACGGCTGGGAAATCCTTGCCAGGGTTTCTCCATACGGATGTGTTCAACCGAGAACCGCGACGTTGCTTCTATACTATCTGATAGAAAGTGGAGATGAGGGAAAGAGAAGGCGTGGAGTCGTTTTCGGGGCATCCGTCCCCATACCTCCGTCCATTCCCACTCCTCCATCCATCCCCATCCCTCCATCCATCCCCATCCCTCCATCACATTCCAATCCCTCCATCCATCCCAATCCCTACATCCATTCCCATTCCTCCATCCGTCCCTATATTCGACAACGGCCGAATTCGAGAAAAATTTTGAATGCGAATCCTGTGTCGTAAATAAGGGTGGGCACCACCTGGGCGAAGGTAACACGGAGGAAAATCATCTCCGACTATGAACTTCTCTCACTTCTCAAGCGGCAAACTACTTTTGGTGCATCGAGAAATGATTCTTTGAAACGAATCCAACCGGCCCCATCCGGATGCGTTATTCTCGACTGCGGTTGTTACGATGAACGACGTGCGGGTGGAAAGCGTTCACGTCACCCGTCTGTCGGTCGAATCTCGTCTTAAAACTTTTGCGTCTCCAAAAAGAAGTCCTGCAGCATCTCATCCCTCGTGATTATGATTTTTTTTTGCTTCGGATGAAGTGCGTATAGATCCAGGAGGTGAGACTCTCGAGGAAACACGGAGTGAAAAAAATGAAGTTCAGATGAAGGATTTACTAATGAGGAAAGTCGATCGATCCGTCCAAATGAGAACACGAAGATATGGATTTGGCTGTCCCCCCCCCCCCCCCCCCCTCCTTCCTTCGTACAATAAGCTTTGTTCGTAGACATTTCTCAGCTCCATAGAGTTCGAAACCCAGACGCCCAAAATTCGTTTTTGCTTATGCCCCAGCGCGAAGGGAAAGAGGGGGGGCAAGCACGATGCACAGAGACGCCATTCAGGATAGTTATGGTCCCGAGTGAATGGAACCTTTATTGGAAGATGACGGGATTGCCGCCGACTCGAAGCGGCCGGCATCCATGCATTCCCTTCAGTTCTCTCCCAATGGCCCAATTAGTGCACGTGGGACGCGAAGCATTCCCCAAGGCGAAAGTTCTCGAACGGGTAACTCGTGATTCGGCCGAGGCACGAGGAATTCGTGGATCTCGGTCGACCGTTTCGCTCGTGCTCGTCCGTTACTGCCGGAACGAATGCATTAAAGATGAGTTCGTCGTCGAGAATTTCGATTCGAAGCACGGCCGTCGCTGTTCTCGGCTCATTTCTCGGGACTATTCCTGGAAGAGCCTCGTGAAATGTGTCGACGGATTTTGTGTCGGTTTCCTCGCGAAATTTGACGTTTTTCACGCTTCCGTACCCTACACTCCGGTTGCGATGCCGGTCCCGAGCTGCTTTTTCTTCCAGCAAAAATGGTTCCGTTCGGCTGAGCAGTTTCAAGATGCAACATTTTTGCTTCCCTTCTTTTCAGTTGCTAACGTTCACCGATAAAAGCGAGCCGACACGTGCCTTCAAGGAAGGGATTAAATGTTTTACAAGTGCATTTTAGGATCCAAGTCTTCCAAGAAAAACTTAAAATCCCCAGGGGAAATGGCAGGATGAGGTACAAAGGAAATCTTCTCTTATTGATGCCACGAAGTCGAGTAGAGACGGATCCGCAGGGAATCCGATCGATGATGTTGGACGTTAAGTCTACTCTGCGTCACTTCCAATCACTGGGTCGAATAATTTTCCAATAATTCCGTGAAAACCAAGGAAGCAAATAATCGGATCTAAGATTTTTTTATTTATTAGCATGGGTACCGACCAGTTCCGCACAGTCGACCCCCCAGTCGCCAAAAGCGCACTCAAGAAATCACGAGATTAAAAACAAAAAAAATCGAGTCTTGCGACCGCTTAAACCGGAACAGCGGAAGAACAGCTGATAACTCGGCTGGCTGGATGACCCTCATCTCGCGTTTTAATACGAACGGCCACTGGACCGAAACCCGAGACTTCGACGGCGATGAGTTCAAAAGTCGCGGACGAAGGAAAATATCAGCTACAACATGGTGTATATGCCGCTCAAACGTTATCGAGCTAGTTTAACCAGTAGTTTTTCATGGGGTTCATGCCTTCAAAGAAACGTACAATCCCGTCGACGGGAATACCGGTCGACAGTAATTCAAGAGGTTCTTTCCATACTCGAAAAGTACAGTAAATAATTACGTAGACTCGTTTGTTGGCAATCCTTGGCTCTCTTGGATTACATACATGTTATAAAAGTTATCTTAAAAAATTGGATTGGCTGAAACAGGGAGCTTACGATAATTTCCCGTGCTCAATTTCGGATGGAATTTTCTGCCTTACTGTCAAGTCTTCCTCAATGCCAACCATCAACTTTGATAATGCCGAATCAGCAGTACTTTATAATAACGTACAATTCCAACGTCCACAGTCCCCTTTTGTAAATCATTCCTGACCAGGAATAAGAGAAAGAACAAAACGTACATCTGAACGGGACGAAGCAACCTTACTTTCAGAAAGTACTTTAAAACGTACTAAGTAAAGCGCACTTTAAAAATGAGCTTACACGCCGATATCCATGCATTTACTGTGTTCACTGCAATTATAAACCACATCTGGTGGGAGGAATTACCTCGAACCACATTGGTGTCCACTGGTATTACCATCTGACCCATTCTGGGCGGGTGCAACCGGTCGGGAGACCGAGCGGCAGAGACAAGACGGACATCGACCGTATTTCTAGTTTTATTCTGCAACCGAGTGAGAATGCAGGAAGTAGGAAGGCACAAAAATGACTTAGATGCCACCGCTGATTCATGATAATTAGTCATGCACACCTCATCGTCAATCGATCAATCACAGCTGCTCTGTTTCTCAGGTATGGGAAAAAATGAAAACTCACTCACCTCTGAGGTCAGTATCGTAATAAAGGAAAAAAAGAAGCGAGAAATGGGAACGACATCACAGGGACTCAGGCTTTCCACCGGCCTTGCAAATCAACTATAGAGACACTGGAACTGGATGAAGCATTAAGAGAGAAAAAAATACAAGAAAAAAATATTTTGAATCAAGATTCACGTCATCTGTACTTCCTTTTCCCTTCCAAAATCCAAAACTTTTAATACATAATTCACTAGTGTAACAATGAGACTTAACAAAGTTAAATCTCCACAGATCACTGCCCCCCGTAAAGTACATTTTAGAGAAAACACGAACATACAACAGATGCTTGTATAAGTCAATAGAGCAAAATTCTTTGTCACAATGCCTGCCTCTTGAATACATAATTCTCATCAAAATGGAATACTGTAATAACCAAGTCTTTGAGATTCATGTAAAGGTCACTTTCTCCAATAAAGAGCATCAAAAACTTGTCAAGGACATAGATGAAAACAGAAAAACTACTGCCCTAGGAGAATTAGAGAAATGGAAACCTTCATGAATCAAACAGAATGTTCTCCAAGGCTACCCGTCATTCTGATTCAAATTTCCCACTCAATTAAATGCATATAAATGCATGAGCACATTGCTCTTTCAACTGCAAAACCATATTTCAAGGAGCTTCTAGAATGCAGGATTCTACATTGCAATTAAAGCAGTGCTTGTGTTAATCATCACTGTAGAAAGCTCCTATCTTTGGTCATTCTAACCTGGACATGAAAGACTTTAAAGGGAATACAGTACATTAAGATCCATTTCATATACAGTTACTGCAAGAAAGCTACAAGTAGCAATATTCTCTCTTTGGGAGGGGTTGACAAAGATGATAGATATGATGGGGAAGAATTTCTAGAAGTAACAGGAGTGATGAGAGAGAGAAATGCAGTACAACCATTAAGAGTGAAAGACTAAAGGCAACAGGAACAAACAAGGCTCGCTTTCAAACATTGGTGGAGCGCAAGAGGGGACGACCCATCTCTCGGTAGCATTCGCTGCAATAGTTGTCATAATTGGGGCTGCCGTAGTTGGCGCAGTGATGCTGCTTGCACAGCTGCTGAGTGAAGCGAATCTCATGGACGGGTGAGGAGGCGAGGATCGGGGGAAGGGATCGTGGGGGGGTGCCACCCGAGGAAAGACGTCTGGGGGTATCTGGCCACAAGGCTTGGGGATCCTCTTGCCCCACGAAGGTCGTCGTCCTGCCCCTTCCAGGGGGCCCAACTATCATCTGATGAGGGGGATTAGAACGCAAAACTTGAGGCTCCTCACTCTCCCCAAGGGTCATTCTGGCTCTTTGGCGCAGTGGAGCCGTCCTCAGGCGATTTGGTGGATCCGGGCGAAGAGGTGGGAGGGTTGAAGACTTATCTCCTCTTGGGTAATTGGAAAGATTATAGCTCGTAGATGGGATGTGATCTTGGTAAAAAGTACTGTTATTCAAATAGAGGGTTGGGTCAGGCATTGAATTCCCCTTCAAGGGCCATATCATGCCTGTCTCTTCAGAACGAGGAACTTCAGTGTAGAACCGAGAACGTCCTGCTCCGTAGGAGAAGCCTGGGCCTTTCGAGAGCAAGCGATTGCGCTCGTTCTCCTCTTCACGCTTCTGCCGCTCAAAGCAGGTCTCACAAAGGTAGCTGGTTGAGGCTGAGCCATAGTGGTTGCATCCTGGGTTCACACATTCCACAAAGCCTTCACTTTCCACACGTCGGCGCAATCGCTCTTCCTGAGTTGGGACGGATTCCTTCCCAGACTTCTGCTCTTCCAGGAAGCCTTCTTTAGCTGCCTCCAGATAATTCTGGATCAGGTTCTCTCTAAAGGGGTCTCGATTTCCAGTGGCAATGAGGGCGACGGTGAGGGTGATGGCATCATCACAAGGAGATGTGGTCACTGCTGGCAATGGGGGAGGGGGACAATCTTTGGCTTCGTGGTCTTTCTTCGTACGCAGAGATCCTGCTCTCCCAAGGCTTGCAAGGTGCTCAAAATTCTTTTTGAATTTCTTGCTCATGGATCGACCAAGGCTCCCAAACTGCTTCACAACAGTTGCCTTCCCATGCTTCCCATCAAGATTCTTGGAAACGAGCTCAGAATCTGACACACTTTCTGAATGTGGAGTATCAACAGGAGATGGGGTGCCAGATGGCACCAGGGAGGTGTTGGAGAATGGAACCTGTCCCACATCGAGGTATTTCATGAGGAGGTCCATTTTTTCCTTTTCACTGAGGCAGAATTTTTCCCGTACTTGGGGATCGGCATCGTCTTGACCCCACGTGAATGAAGGACCAGGGTCCACAGCAAACTGGAGTGGGAGCAGATGATTCTCTACATCTGTCAAAGGTATCCCAGCTGTCGAAGAGAGTAGTCAAATTGAAAAAACCTTAAAGCTGATAAAATCTTGAGAGGAATGAATGCAATCCATTGTGCATGATCTTTCCAAGGAAGAACAACATTTTTGAAAATGGTAAAACTGACAGCTCACCCCTACATGGCTTAAAAGACTGGCTTACCTCAACAGTAGCAAATGGCAAAAGTGCATTACTTGTTATGCTCAAATGGGTCCCACAAAAGTGGAATAAGATACACATTACAGAGCAGACTCATTGCTGACAGAGATAAGTAAATGCACACGTTCTCCCTTCCTCAACTACTCAGATATTGGTAATAAGGGGTAATACAGGATTAATAACTGGAAATAAAACATGAATTATTGCTAGAATTGCATTTCTCAAGCTTCTGGGGTCTGCCAGGTTCTTTGGACAGTCACAACTCTCATTTGAAGGGAACTAACTACATACTTCCCATGTAAAAGTCCTGGTGAAAACAATAAATGCATGTTAAGCTAGTTTGAAAGATCTGGACACTGAAGATGTACCTGGTGGGGGGGGATAGTGGTCACCATTGGGATCAGCTTCCATGACCACCAATGGAGAGAAGTGAGCAGCATCAAATGCCAATACCAAAGGGGAATGGCGGCATTCTGATTCGCTCATCTCCAGTGGCAAATATATTCCTCCAAAGTTGATAGGGGCCATTGCTTCTCCAAATGCATCCTGCTCGCACAGAAACAACATATATACATGCACAGGTCATTTGCACACATTTAACCACAAAGACATGTTTTTGATGACAGCTGCTCTTTGAGGCCACAGTGAGAAGAACTTAACAGTACACAGCTTCATGGGTCAACATATGTCCATGCATAAAGGTTATGAGAACTGTTGTGAGAGAGAATTAAAGGCCCCAAAAAAGTCCTATTGTTATATAAACCAAACCATCTTGATTCTGACCCTATTTGCTGGAAAAGGAGAACCTCCTTCATGGGTGTGATGAGTGAAGGGTGCACATTCTCCCTCAAGGAATTCGTGTCCAAGATGGTGGAGGAAGGGATGCAATACAAAACCTGACAGTAAAAGCAAATTCTCTTTCCCAACTTTAGCATGGAAAGAATGACTTTCTTAAGGATTACCCCATTTCTCCGACCTGTCTGCGATAATACCTGTCAGTCTAGCGATCATAAATGGGCATCCTCTTAGCAAGAGATGAATACTTGAGGTCCACCGATGTAAGATTTTACAGATTCCGATATTGGCTGATATGTGAAGCCTATGCGATATTTGTCAATATTTCAGAATAAATTATTAAAGATAATTCCATACTGAAGATTCAACAGGAAAGCTTGATTTTACTTCAAATTCTCCATGATAAACTCACAGTGAAGTTAGACTGCAAAGCATAGGCCAAACCTAAGCCTAATAGCAAAGGTTTGCCTCTATGTGCCAGACCAGGAACATAAGCAGAGTGAAGACTAGCAATTTCTTGTCTCTCTCTGATGATGCCATATTGGCTACATCATGTCTTTGGGTTTCATATGGGTGTGGAAAAGATAGTCTTAATAATCTTTTTCTTTTACTGTATGGATTGAACAGAACTCTACTGATGGTGGCAAAAATCAGGTTTGAAAGAACCGATGAGAAGGCATGTGTGCCCAACCTGTGGATCGTGTCGGGCTGAGCACATTTAGGTCTCAAAGCTTGAGAACTTGGGTTCTTTGTGCCTTCACAGGCACCCAACTAGAAACTCAATTGCCAGCTGAGCTATATGCCCCACGTGGGTCAGGTCAGTCCAATCAAACTGACCTGCATCCCTTCCAGAGTTCAATGCCATAGTACTAAAGGTATCTGATGCCGAATGGCATCCTCAATATTTGATTCTATATTATTGAAAATTCTAAATCCGAATGGTGAGTCCCATTTTAATGCTTTTAGATGGAACTTGCTGAATATTGGTGCATAGGTATAATGCAGGTCTTCCATTATGGAAATCATCTCCTTGTCTTCATCCAAGCTTTTGAAATTCGAATGACATGTCTCACTTGAACACTATGGAGCAGAATGTGCTGAAAATTTGCACACATATAATGTAGGCAGTTCTCAGAGGGGAGTGCATCTTTATTATCGCTCCAAAGCGTGGCGGCCCCAAATTCAAACGTTGTCTGCTAGAATGCTACGAGACACATTGCAAATTGTTACAGAAGGAAATTGTGGAAAGGGGGGAGGATCTCTGATGATGGGAAACATCTTTAATTTCCTATTTTCAAGTTCTAAATTTGTACAATGTGCCTCATTTGAATATTATGGGATGGAACTCCCTGAAAATCAGCATACAGAGAAATGTCAGGGAGAGGGGTAGGGGGGAAATGATGAGATGCACCTAATATTATTGATCTAAAATATGCCTTTTCCAAAATTCCAGGGGTGTGTCTCATTAGAATGATACAAGATGGGAGTTGATTAGCCTCAATTAGAACATCAATACTTCATGGGTACCAGCTAGTGCTATTATATTAACCTTTTCACAGGCCAGTTTTTCAAATCCTCCCTGGAAAACAACTGATATTTCAATGCATAACTGTGAATGGGTTAATAACCTTATAATTTGTGATGGACTGTAAAATATATTCTTTTCCTTAAAAAGATATCCTTTTTTTTTCACCTACCCAAACCTACAACCTTCATGAACCATTTTTAGTGCTTGAATAAATTAAAATGATATCCCAGCATGAAAAAATTACTATAATGCCTTTGATAGGGAAAATGAGCAAATCATTTCTTCCTGGGTGACTCAAGGTGAGCAAGTCATTCTTGAATGAAAGTGAGCATCAAACTGGTTGAAATGCGGCTACAGATTTACTTGAGGTTTATAGATGTCCATCATGCTAACTAACCACATTCCATGATTACAGTAGAAAACAGGCAAAACATCAAATACTTTCTGTAAGAATCATGGAGTATTGGCACAGACTATGAATAGGAAAAGCACAGACAGAGGGAGACAGACCTTGAGAAAGACATCAGCCACGACAATGATGGTCCTCTTGAGCACATGAGCAAGGGCAAGGACATGGAATTCCTCAAGACCTTCAAATACAATTGGCTCATCTCTCCCTCCACTAGGAACATTGAAAGTACTTCATCATTGGAAAGATGGTAAGGCTACTTGGGTAATTCAAGATATGCTATATCATTATGTCTAAATGGGGGAAGATTCCATAAGCTGTTATTGTCATGGTAACCTGACAGAGTTTAACCAGAGGTCTGAAAGACATAACAATGACTCCAAATAAAAGTTTCTCTGATCTTGTTTCCCTCAGGCATATAGTGAATGCTTTCATAGATACAGCAAAATCTCTGAGGGATAACCTAATGAGGAAAGATCTGGGTCCATAGAAGTGGAGAAATTCTCTTGATGAATGAAGCAATGGGCAATCAAAAGTATGGTGATACTTCAAAGGGAAAGTGAGGACAGAAACAAAATATATAAACTGGATGAAGATGACATGACTCTTCCAATTGAATGTAGTGCCGAACAATAATGTTGATGAAGGGGAATTTTTATGGAAATTAACTTGGAAAAATAAACTTTTCTGAATTGAACTACTTCCCTTTTATGACCTCCCCACCCCCTGAATAAAATATGGAGTCACACAATCAACTCAATTGACAAGTGCTAATCCCATTTATGGTGATCCATGGGGGGGGGGGGGGGCCAGTAGGCAATGCTGCTGCACAAGGATTCAGGATACAGACTATAGGGTAAAATAGGGAACTTATTTTTATAAGCAAGCACCACAAACCACAACAAACACCACCAGGTGATCTCCATGGCAACAGAAAAAAAGTGAAGATTTGCAGGGCATACCTGTTGCCATCCTCGCTGTTCTTCCCATTCCGTGGCTGAGGCGATGCAAGCTGGAGAATGTTGTTCCATTCTGTTTCCCATTCACTTTCATCATAGACGAGCCCTGCTTGACAAATTGAGAAACTTGTTCAACATGCACATTAACATCTGTCTTCTCAAAATGGAGAATCTCTGTTCATGCACAACTTTCCATTCACCCATCATTGGATGTGATATAAAGGCCCAGGAAAGATGGCTAGGGAACAAGTTAATATTGCCTTCTCATGATAGAAATTGAAGAAATACCTGAAATGTTAGGAGCAAGGAATGAACACACATTTAAGATACACACTATTTACCTCATTCGGCCTCGACTTCTTGGAAAGAAGATATTTCTGAGAGAAACAGTTTAAGGATTTCTAAGAATACATGCACAGCCCTACCAGACTGGAGATTGGTGATCATCTGCTGCCATCTCCACCTCCTCAACAATGCATGTCTCTGGGGGGCCCGAGTGAGAAATGAATGCAATGCTGTACGTAGAGTCAACCCCCTGTCTTGGAAGCCCCAGATCCCTAAACACCCAGAAAAAAACAAGAATTCTTAGAAACACATTTCTCATTTCTTGGGATTCACCAAATTAATCTCATAGTACCATTAAAAGAGCATCCAGATGTTCTATTGAAGATAGTGCTTAGAGAGATGTATGCTTATGTGATTCATGTCTTATGCCCAATGAACCAATATATGCTAAGAAAACTGAGATTTATATAGTTTTATTGAAATTTTCAAAGAAAAAACCATGAAAATGAAGAAGAAAGAATGAAATGTATCAGTCAACAAGTAAAATACTTCAGGGGTTTGAAAGAACTTAATGGTGCAGTAGAAGAGAAGAGAAAATGCTGGAAGAGTGAAGGAGGAGAAATATCAGATATGTACACAATGCATTGGCACCAGGGTGTAATAGAGCACAAAACCATGGACAAAGCATGTATGGGAACTATGCTAGTCCAGAGTCCACTTGTGAAATGACTGGCTCGACTCTGGAGTCAAGCAACTCATTTCACAAGTGTACCGGATAAAAACAAAAATCACGAAATTCAATATACTCCCACTATCCCCACCTCCTTTTTAGTGCTACAGCTTATTTCATGGATCATTCCCAGTCCATGACATGAAAGACAAGAATCACACGAAGAATATTCTCACCCAGTGAAGCAGCATGAAGAAGACAGTTCCCATCCCCAGTGGTTGCAAGAGGCCACAGTTTCTGCAAGGCATTCTTTCCACACCACCAATTCAGCCTTTTTGTCCCCTCCAGTGAGACCAGAATAGTGGAGTCTATCAGATCCCTCTCCAAATAATTTCGGAAGTCCTCTGTTCCAATAATAAGGGCGAAAGCAAAAAATCACCACACAAGACATAAGATATTCCATTAGATTTGGAATCCCTCAATGAGCTGCCATGAAAAGGAGAGCTGTTTAAAGAACATAGCAGCTTAATGCCAGTGCACAATTAGATACATTTTTTAAACAAAGTTAGCAAACATAAGAATAGGATTACATTTCTATAATTCTGTGAATATAAAGACACATTGTGACAACAGCCTAGTTGATGGGCTTATGATCCAAGACAATATTTGCCACAGAGCCTACTATGAAGGTGCTTGGCCCCAACACATCAAGCATATCAATGAATTTTTTTTAGCATTATTTATGTCTCCAAGATTGACTGACAGAATGGACATTTATGTGTGCATTTAAGTGAGTCTTCTTTAGGCCTAAGCATTTTAGAGTAGATATCCACCGATATGTCACGTTCACTATAACAGCATAAGTAAATGTATAGAACCTGGAAATTTCCATAATTTGGGGAAGGGTGATTTGATGGTATATCATCCCTTTCCACAAGTACTAAGCCATTTATTCTGATTTCCCTGTTTCTTTTCAGTGATGAAAAATGGACAGATGTGTTGCATGGCCAGATAGGGCAACAAGAAGCTTTCCCTGCTTTGTGCTTTCTACATGATCACAAAAAAAATTATTTGGCGCTTTCCATGGCATGGCATATTAAGATGAGCAAACCAAGTCCAGTAGTGGGACTCCTTACATTAAAGAGCCTCATTTGGAACCTACTTGAAAAAAATACCATCTCTTTCCAGCCCTTGACCATCAAAATTCTCATTTCTCGGTTAGATTTGACAAATCAACCTATGGTGCTCATGAATGAAGATGGGAGGGTTGTATGTGGTTTGATCCATCTGCCATGAAGGATAGGAGAGAACGGCCAGCACTTGTTGGGGACACAGCACTGTGCGGTAGGCCTGGGTCTTGCATGCATGTGCATCATGGTCCAGATTCTAAATGTGCTTTCGAGAACTTATGCCTTACTCCCCCCGAGAGCAATTTCAAATCCAAAATTTGTGATAAAAATGGAAAATTTTAGACTAATTTGCCACACACTCAGTCTGTATCTTGTTCATATCTACCTCCTAGCCAATTTTCACATTGGTCAGGCCAATATTTTCTTAGTTATCATCAGAATGGCACACAGACAGGATGGGATCATAAGTGGTCTCTTTCCTTTCAGGAAAGGAGGCCCAGAAACGTTGATATATTATGAATAAGTATATTTTCTTCCCATCTTCACCAATAGATATGATAAGAATCACCATTTTATTAAGCTTCTCCAGACGGTTTTAGCAAGAGCAAAAGAACTTTCTTCACGTTTCCAGAATGACATTCCAAACAAATGCAAAATTAACAACATCCCTGCATATATACTGAAAATAAAGCTGAGGGAGGGATTCCAAATTGGGGCAAATTCACCTGTGGATGCATGATGAGACCTACCTGGATAGAGACTGAAGTCAGGCAAGGTGAAAGTGTCATTTGGAGTCTCAACAAAAAACTTTTTGCTGTCTCCACTTGGAGGATCTTCAACCTTTTTGGCCAATGCACAGCGGGCTTCAGAAACGAGACTCTCGTTCTCCGCTGTCCTAGAGAAACCTCGCAAGAGTCTCTTCTCTGCAAATACCAATAAGAAAAACTTGACTGAGGGCATCACATTAGATCTATTAGGTTTACCCTAGTAACAAAGGCCTTCACAAATCTGCAAGTGGCACAAAAGTTCAACTTCATCAATTTAGCACAGCAAGGCTTATGGAGCTTTGAAAGCAGAGAAGGGCAAGCAAGTAGTTAAGCCATGGTCTCAGTCACTTAACAATTCTGGCAAAATACATTAGTTTATTCATGAGACCCTCTCCAGGTTACATGCATTTAAACTAGACTCCTGTAGGAAGATTTAATCTCCTTCAATGTGAGAAGTGAAATTCAGTTGTAAGCCTGGTTAATTATGGTGCTTGTACACCTTCAAACAGTCTTGGTGATGGAAAAGTCCTGAAAGGGGTCCTGCATGAGAGCTCAAATGACAAAAGGTGCCTAATGACTTAGATACAATCCTGCTCCTATGGGGTAAAGTTAAAAAAAAGAAAGGAAACGGTGACTCACCTTTATCACGTTCATGGCTGGGAGCACTGAATCCCCCTCCTCCTTCATGCATCTTCACAGGGAGGAGTTCAGGATGAGGACTCTAGCTTCATCAGGCTCATCACTACTCCTCCCTACTCAAAGCATGCACTGAAGGCTCATAATCACTTCACTGAGGCCCAATTGAAATGAATAGTGAGCTCAAGATAAGAGTCATATTACTAAATCCTTTTCCACACCTGCATCAAGACAGTATATGGTCAAAGTCGAGCCAATTAGGATATCTATTTAAAGTGTTTTACAGCTGGGATCAACACAACTTAACGTGAGTTTAATCATACTTAATACCATGTTAGTCCAAATTGGTAAACTGGCAAGCACAGACAATGGGTACTCATGTATTAAGCCAATCAACAAAGCAGGTCAGCTGCCACCTGTCCACTAAATATGGGTCTACCTCCAAAGTATGTTAAACTTATAGGCCTAATGATGTGAGATGTCTCTTAGCTCTCAATGGATACAACTAATTGCTGCAATTAATGCACGTGGTTTTTTTACCCTTTGGGATCTAAAAGGTTTTTGGCAGTGGGAGGGAAGAGAACTTTTTTCATTTCCAAGTATATTCTCTGAGAAAGCTGAAAAGCCTTCTCGATAGGCCTAACTTATTTGATATGCCTAATCCCTCTCCTCTCTAAACGAGAGGGTTTGTCATCCCTCGAGGCCCGGAAAAAAAAGTGACACCTACTACCTTGCCACCGTTCCAGAGGAGAAACACGAGCTGACTGAGGAGGCGGGTGTGACAACGACGGGACAACAGGTCTAACGTGTGGCCAATGAGTAAGCGTCCTTCCCTGCTCCATAACTTAGAAGCGCGGATGGGTCTGATGTCTGAGTCTGTTTCCTCTACCCAGGCTGGCCTTAACTTTGAGCAATGGACATAGGCTTTGAGTCGCGAGGGAGGAAAGTCTGAACCAAAATCGAAAAATTAAACCTCGATGGAACAGACCGTGTCGATTCGTTCGTGACACACGTCGGGTCCCTGCGATCTCAAAGTTAAAGATCCAACCTAACAAGGAAGTAGGTCAACATTCCAACGTAAAACTTGGCTTTGGCGAAACGCAGGCTTGCACAACGACGGACCCTGAGGCGTTCCACGGCCTTGGAATAGGTTGGACTTTAAATGGGATGGACCGTGGACATGGGGTCGTGCGAGGGCGGCCATCATGGGTCTGGCGAAGGTGCTCAATGCAAACATCGTGCAAAATTCCGTTATATTTTTTACTTTTATTCAGTTGAGTACGACGCGTTTTCGATCGACCCTGGTGCCTGTTCGTGGAAAGCACGAGAGACAGGTGTCGGAGTCGTCCTGAAAAGCATCGGACTCGAACGAAATAAGCCGTGCAATCCAATGGACCGTTTCAAAAGTGGAGTCGTTCGCCCCTCTGCCCTACTCCCTTTTCGCGTTTTCTCGAGACCGCCGTTGAGTACAATCGGACGATTAAAATAATTTCGGCGAATCGAAACCGATCGGGACGGCCGCGGAATCCCAGCGAGGCAGTCTTGGGGCTTCTCCCTTCCCCGCTCCGTCGACGATCGGCTTACCTCAACGATTTCACGGGTTCGAGAGGTCCTGCCGCTATCCCAGGCCATTCCGTGCGTGTTTCTTCGTTTCGCGGCGAAGGCGAGCCGGCGAGGACAGGTGAGGAAATCTGACAGGAAATGTTCCTCACTCCCCTCTCCTCACTCCTCACTCCTCTCTCTTATCTCCCATCTCCTGGGTCCATGAGTCAGCACGATGCACACAGGATGCGCGAGATCGCCCCCACGGGAAAAAAAAAGGTAAACAAACACGGTAGGCATTCATTTTGCGATCGCATCGAACTCCCTGAGGCGTTTACCACGAAACGCTGACTCCTTTCCTCCGAACAACAAAAATAGGCCCTTCTGCGGTGTTTCCTCCGCATTCGACGCGTTCCACCGAAAAAAAATTTCCCCTTCATTGCCATGCTGCGTGATGGTCTTCCTGGAAAGGCCGGACGAGGAACCGAGGCCTTCGAGGGCCTTCGAGCTCCTCGGTCCTCGTGGGCATTCCTCATTCCAAACATGAAATTCAATCCGCGGGCTCGAAGGACGCATGGCGATGACAGGGGCCCTCGAGTCTCGATGGGCACCGGGGTCTCGTGTGTCGCAATCGGGCGGTGCAGCCGCTTCTGCTGCGATCCGTCGTGACAGCTGAACGAAGACGGAACGGTTGGAGGTACGGCGCAGTGGTGAGGGTGATCGGGTCCTTAATCGGAAATGCGTGGTGGATGGCGATGAGGATCCTTGTTTTCGTTTCGGGCATCTCAGAGTATGCAGGTGGATTTTTTTTTAAAGGAAAGCTCATGAATTCCTTTTGAAGCCACTTGATACGCCGAAGGTGATGCTAGCATTAAGTGTGTGAGACTTAGCCCGTGAAATTTCGTCTTTCACCTTTCACCGCTTTCCGCGATCACAACTAATTTAAATTTAAATTTAAAGAAACTATCGAGATGAATCGTCAGACTTCGTCTCACATCGTAGCAAATATGCCGAAAGCCACCCAGAAAACACGTTACGTTGGGCCCACGTCGGCGGAACGTGAATGCTGGGGGACGATGTCGGCCCAATGTGGGCCCAACGTGGAAGAACTGCAGAACTCCTGGTGGATAACTACGACACGTTGAAGTTCCTCGCCCAACCACTAGATGTCGGCATGGGTCTCGCTTTTCGCACAGTACACAAAAGTTCCCTTCCCTCTTTCCCTGGAATCGGGAGCATAATAGAACCGCTTCTGTAGCTATTTTAAAGAAGAAACTGGATACTTTCATGGACAGGCAAAAAGGTGGGGGTAATGTTGAAGTTAAGGACTTGGAAGTAAGCAACTAGGATACGCTAAAAAGAAAAAATATATATATATATTTAGCTTTAAGAGGATTAGGCCAACTCTAAAATTAAGGAACGCTCGACCTCGACACGTGATATCGAAATGGGTGCATTCGCCTCTTGATATCACAAACTACGCTGATACCTTGATTGACACCGTATGATGTGGTCTATCCTCTGCCACGTATCGTAAGCAGGACAATAGGAGGAAAAATCGTCTGTACTGTCCTTTTTCGTCTGCCTATCTAGGTCGAAGAGATGGGAGATAAAGAGCGTGCAATCCCCATTGACGCTCTAGGACACTCTCCTGGTTCGACTTGGCTCGTTGCGGCTTGGCGCAGGCGCACTGGGGACCTAGGAGGGCGCTGCCCGTTCCGTGAGGTCTCGATCGACGAGAGTTTCGGGAGGAGGAGGTGAAATTCGTGCGTTCAGATTCCTTGTAGTTCTTGAATCGTCGATGTGTCGTGCTAATAGAAGTCACTTCGGGGGGATTTTTAGCAAATTTTAAGCAAACCCGCTTCCTCGAGCCATGCAGGAGTCCTGGCTCTCGAGTGCGAGTTCTCTGGTTAAAATACGCAGGGAAAAAAAGGTTAAAGTAATGAAAGGTGTCAAGGTCGTTAACCGGACTTTCAGTCCGTCACTCTCAAAAATAACCCACCTGTTTTTATTTTTAATTTTATTTTTAAGGAATACCTCCATTTGGACCTAGTATGCAATGTCGACTCTCCCTAACATGGCAGGCGGCTGCAGTCCGGTATCTGTAGGATATATTTTTATGACTAAATCGGCACAAATTCGTTAGAAAAATGGAAAAATGGCTAAAATACAGAGAACTAAATAGGCTAAGGTACCGGAAAGGGCGGGGTCGTTAAGGGGACTTTAAGCCTGTCACTGTCAAAATAACGCGCGACAATTTGGTTTATATAAACGTTTACCTTCGTTCGGACCTGGTACGTCATATCTACTTTCCCTTAGATGGCGGAACGCAGGCGGCCGCAGTCTTTATCGGTAGGGGATATTTTAATGGCTAAATCGGCACACTTTCATGTGAAAATGGGGGGAAAATCGTATTCATACATATAAAAAAATTCTTCGAGGACGAAATTAATCTCCAAGAGAGCCTGCCGTCTCCACCCTATCACGCTAGAGCGAGCCGAAGCGAAGTAGGATAAAAGATCCGGTGATGGGCCACGTCGCAGGAATATTCCAATAACTAGGCGTCTGTTCCACGAACGCGTCTGAAGTGTTTCCGCTTCAATGCTGATAGCCTGTCACGACGGGGGCAGGCGTGCTATGGAGCTGTTGGAATTTTTATGTGCTGTGGCCCATCGCTGGGTCTTTTGCCCTACCTGGGAAGGATCAGTGAGGTATGCTTCCCAGATGCGATTTTTCTTGCCGGGGCTTAGAAAAGTTATTACGTTTGAAGCAAGAGGGGAACTTTTTTAAAACCTCGTAGGAGTATTTCTCATTCGTCTGGATTGTCGTATGCAGAAGAGCCGAGACCTCACAAGACAAGTTGGATATATTAAAAATAAACGAACCCGACGCAAGTCAGAGACGATGTGCGTCTGCTTGTTAAGGTGCTGCGACGACGTAACCCACGGACTCGACACGGAAAACTCACGAGACGATGATTATGGGGAGATTCCCCCGCTCTTTTGAAGAATTCACTGCTGCACGAGAAAAACGAGACTCGACTGAGACTCCGCCGGAGCGTGGGTGTCGGCCATGGTGATTTGACCCGGCACCAGGTGGCCGCGAGGGAGTGCACACTCTTTATCTCCTCTTTGATCTGGGGCATATAAACATGTCCATGGCAGATTGCAGTCCATTGAACGGGTTTCGTATCACAGATGGGAATCCCTCCACTGGATATCGAATTTAGGCATAGGATACGAAATGATGGGCAATATAGAGCAAAAATCACCTACTTGGGTAAGTGGGTTAAATGTTGCTCTTCGACTTCCTACCGACGTCGGCCCCACGTTGACCCAACGGTCACTTTTACGTGGGGCCTACGGGAATGACCTACGTTGGGCCAACGTATCCTGGCGTAGGATGACCACATTGGGCCAACGTGGGCCCCGCGAAAAATGTTATCTGGGCAGCCCCGTTGCCAGCATATCCTGGTTTGGAGGAGCAGTTGAGAAAATCTGTCCCTTAATTCCTCGCCCTTGCAAACTCATCGCTTCTGGCTTCTCACATCACACGTTTTGCAACGCAGGTGACTTTCGGCCCCGTTCCGAAGTTTGTCCGTATCTGAAGTTTCTCACCCCTTACACGCTGGTGATGCACCGTGCGGCCCCCCGCTAGATCCTCGTATCTGCTACCAGATCCCCC